AGAGCAACCAAATAAATCCTTAGTCTTCCATTCTCCTCCTCTACTGACTACACCACCAGACTTCAAACTTTAGGACTCTTACCGATCTGCTATTGGCATGAATATCTAGACATGGTACTCTTTTATAAAATAACTCACAAACTAGTAATCATCGAAGCATCACTACATCCAACTATCCGCACTTCCAGATCGACTAGATCCTCCGCCAATAACAGTCCTAAGTTCGTCGTGCCAAAATGCAAAACGGTAACATACCAAAGATTTTTCATGATTCGGGCAACTCGAATATGGAACCATCTCGTTGATGAACTTAATTTGAATACGGATAGTCTTTCGTCATTTAAGTCGGCAATGTTTGAGTACTATATTTCCTCTTTGTACTCGTGTTACGATGTTGAGGATCCTCGTAGTTATAAAACTATATGTCCTAAGTGTAATTCTGTTCGTAGCCTCACAGCGTCATCATTGTGCTGTATGTAGGAACTGTTTGTACTGTTCTTTGTTGTTTAATATATGTATTGTTGTAATTTATTTATTCGGGCCCGCAGTAATTGTCATATTATCATATTGTCATATTACAGTGGCAGTCCCTGCCACTGTAATATGTACAAGGCGAATTAAATAAATAAATAAATATTTTTTTATTAAATAATTTCACTTGGAGTCGTGGCAGTGCTATAACCTGTTTGTATATTATCTATGATTTGTCTGCCGAGCAGAATGTGTACACTTGTTGCATATATATATATATATATATGGCTTTGGTGAGTGGCCATGTGGGTGTGCAGGAATGGTTGTGACTGGTTGGGTTCGAATATACCATCTGGCTGATAGCTCAGTTGGTAGAGCGATGGGCTTGTAACCCAGAGGTCGCCGGTTCGAATCCGACTCAGTCTCAGCTTTTCCTGTTCACTAAAAAATACTTACCTACGGTGATTAACATATATATATATATATATATATATATATATATATATATATATATATATATATATATATATATATATATATATATATATATATATATATATATATATATATATATATATACATATATATATGCAGGATTGGTTGTGACTGGTTGGGTTCGAATTAATATACCATCGAGCTGATAGCTCAGTTGGTAGAGCGATGGGCTTGGCCCAGAGGTCGCCGGTTCGAATCCGACTCAGTCTCAACTTTTCCTGTTCACTAAAAAATACTTACCTACGGTGATTAACATATATAAAAATTATAAATGCCATATCGTGATGATTAACATATATACGGCTGAAGAAGACATGTTACTGTCGAAATGGTATACAAATTCGGCATGGCTTTGGTGAGTGGCCATGTGGGTGTGCAGGAATGGTTGTGACTGGTTGGGTTCGAATATACCATCTGGCTGATAGCTCAGTTGGTAGAGCGATGGGCTTGTAACCCAGAGGTCGCCGGTTCGAATCCGACTTAGTCCCAACTTTTCCTGTTCACTAAAAAATACTTTCCTACGGTGATTAACATATATAAAAATTATAAATGCCATATCGTGATGATTAACATATATACGGCTGGAGAAGACATGTTACTGTCGAAATGGTATACAAATTCGGCATGGCTTTGGTGAGTGGCCATGTGGGTGTGCAGGAATGGTTGTGACTGGTTGGGTTCGAATATACCATCGGGCTGATAGCTCAGTTGGTAGAGCGATGGGCTTGCAACCCAGAGGTCGCCGGTTCGAATCCGACTCAGTCTCAACTTTTCCTGTTCACTAAAAAATACTTACCTACGGTGACTAACATATATAAAATATTATAAATGCCATATCGTGATGATTAACATATGTACGGCTGAAGAAGACATGTTACTGTCGAAATGGTATACAAATTCGGCATGGCTTTGGTGAGTGGCCATGTGGGTGTGCAGGAATGGTTGTGACTGGTTGGGTTCGAATATACCATCGGGCTGATAGCTCAGTTGGTAGAGCGATGGGCTTGTAACCCAGAGGTCGCCGGTTCGAATCCGACTCAGTTTCAACTTTTCCTGTTCACTAAAATATACTTACCTACGGTGATTAACATATATAAAATTTATTAATGCCATATCGTGATGATTAACATATATACGGCTGAAGAAGACATGTTACTGTCGAAATGGTATACAAATTCGGCATGGCTTTGGTGAGTGGCCATGTGGGTGTGCAGGAATGGTTGTGACTGGTTGGGTTTGAATATACCATCGGGCTGATAGCTCAGTTGGTAGAGCGATGGGCTTGTAACCCAGAGGTCGCCGGTTCGAATCCGACTCAGTCTCAACTTTTCCTGTTCACTAAAAAATACTCACCTACGGTGATTAACATATATATATATATATATATATATATATATATATATATATATATATATATATATATATATATATATATATATATTCTAATTTCTTTTTGTCGTGGCCTTTATTTTGTATAATATTATTAATGTTCAAAAGGCTGAGGCAGATTTCGTTCCTTGTCACTCATCTCATCATATATATATATATATATATATATATATATATATATATATATATATATATATATATATATATATATATATATATATATATATATATATATATATATATATATATATATATATATATATACATGTTGTAAAGATACGTTTCGGGGCACAGCCCCTTCGCCAGAAACGAGATAAGTTCAAATCCATGTCCTTAAATACTTTCGACCCAATCCTAATTAACATACACTAATAATATATATAGACTTGCATTAATATTCCTCCCTCAAATTTAATCCCAGTGGTACGTACATATGTATTCAATTTTTCAATCCAAAAACATTCCTTCTCTGTAGGTTTATTAACATCCGTGATATCAATAATCTGTGCTTTAAAATCATTAAGACCCGATATATCACGGATGTTAATAAACCTACAGAGAGGGAAAGTTTTTGGATTGAAAAATTGAATACATACATGTACCACTGGGATTAAATTTGAGGGAGGAATATTAATGCAAGTCTATGTTATTAGTGTATGTTAATTAGGATTGGGCCGAAAGTATTTAAGAACATGGATTTGAACTTATCTCGTTTCTGAAGAAGGGGCTGTGCCCCGAAACGTATCTTTACAATATGTATTTATTTATTTAAAGTTTAATAAAATTTATTTTCAATTTGAAGCTTTATATAAATTAATTTTTTTGGGAGACTAGTGATATTTATATATATATATATAAATGACCACCTGATGATTCCTATACGGATGAAACAGACTGTTGTGGTTTTTTGAGGTAAAACGAAAAACTATATTACGCTCTATCTATATGGTATTGAGCACTGTTTGTGTTTCGTAAACCAAAATCGTAAGCTATATATATATATATATATATATATATATATATATATATATATATATATATATATATATATATATATATATATATATATATATATATATATATATATATATATAGGAATCATCATCCTATACGTATGAAACAGACTGTTGTGGTTTTCTGAAGTAAAACGAAAAACTATATGTATATATATATATATATATATATATATATATATATATGTATTATTATTATTATTATTAAAAATTTTATTTCAACACGGTAATTACATCAAAGAGAAAACATATTTACATATTTACATCCTTGTTCTTCCCGTAAGCCGTGCATGCAATTTAATTATATGAAATATTATATATCAATATTAGAGAACAGAGAGTTGATGTGTAGCTAATTTATCTTTAAAATTTTTTAAAGATGTTTCTGTTTTAAGATCATTTGGCAAGGTGTTCCAAAGCTTGGCGCCAGAAAAAGCAAAGCTTTGTTGATACAATTCTGTTTTGACTGATGGCAGTGACAGATTTAAATTCGCATTACGTAGCCCAAGGGATTGAGCTCCGTCGTTATAGTTAAATAACTCTTTCAAATAAGTTGGAGCATCATTATTCAAGATTTTAAACAACATGGACATTCTAAACCGTTTTCTTCTCTCATCTAGAGTCGGCAACCCAAATTTTTCGAGCAGGGCAGCAGACCTAACAGAGTAATCGGCCCGGCTAATAATACGAACAGCCCGGTTTTGTAATTTTTGTATTCTATTTGCCAGTGTATCACTCATAGAGTCCCAAACAATGCAACAGTAATCAAAGTGTGGTTCAATGATTGAATGATATATAGTAATGAGTTGTTTTTCTGTCAAAAAATTCCTAGTTCTACGTAATAAACCCATGCCAATTGAGACCTTTTTAATAACATTGTCAACATGTTTTTTCCACGTCAAATTTTCATCAATTGTGACTCCTAAGCATTTTACATGTCTTACTTTACAAAGTGAAATACCTCCAATAGAAAGTGCAACATCGTCGATCAATGAAGCAATCTTTTGCCGAGTTCCTATAATCATATATTCAGTTTTTAAGGCGTTTAGAGTTAATTTATTAGCTTTAAGCCATAATTCAAGTTTTCTTAAATCACGTTCCATTTGACGTTGAAGTTCAATAGGAAAACATGCAGAAAAAGACAAATTTGTATCATCAGCATACATTCGTGCAGTGCCGTGATCAAAGCAAGATGCCAAATCGTTGATGTATATGAGAAAGAGTAGAGGTCCAAGTACAGAGCCTTGGGGAACACCACAAGTAATTTTAATCTCATCTGACAAACACCCATTGACAAAGCATCTTTGGTGCCTGTCAGTCAGATAGGATCGAAACCAATCAACCGCTATTTTTTCCAATCCTAAATATTCGAATTTGGTCACAAGTATAAGATAATCAACGGTGTCAAAAATCTTAAGCTATACATATATATATATATATATATATATATATATATATATATATATATATATATATATATATATATATATATATATATATATATATGTATATATATATATATATATATATGTATAGCTTAAGATTTTGGTTTAGGAAGCACAAACAGTTCTCAATACCATATAGATATAGAGCGTAATATAGTTTTTCGTTTTACCTCAAAAAACCACAACAGTCTGTTTCATCCGTATAGGAATCATCATCCTATACGTATGAAACAGACTGTTGTGGTTTTCTGAGGTAAAACGAAAAACTATATATATATATATATATATATATATATATATATATATATATATATATATATATATATATATATATATATATATATATATATACCTGTTGGTGCAAAACAAAGTTGCCCTGTTTAATTTACTTTAACTTAAAAACTAAAAGAGCTATTACACCTAAACTATACGTGCATTGAATTGCATTCAGTATTGTCTAACTTAAATTTTGATATATGCCCTGTGCATTTTCGTGCAATATTGACCGAGAGAGCTGCGTTGAATAAACATTTTGGGAAGTGTCGAGAATTAGCTAAAAACGGCCTGTTAAACCAATTTAATAACCGTTACCATTTTATCGTAATATTCGTTTCAATGAAGTGAAGTGTAAGTTAAAAATGTTTATCGGATGGATGCGCTCTTTTATTTTTGTTTTAATATCGTTGCGAATACATGAAAATTGGAATGGAAAACCAGAGCATATTTAAATTAAGGTACAGCAATCAACAAAATCCACTAGGCATCCTCGTACCACAAGATGTGGCACTCTTCAGATAAATTGACCTGTCTGATGACTACAGCCTAAAACTTACATGGTTATATATGTACAAGTGGACGAGACTTTTAAAAACTTAATCCTATTTACAAAGCACGCGATTTAATTAACATGTTATCTGATAAGCTGACAGGACGCGGAAAGATTAACACACCGCGGTATATTTAAATGTCTAGTTTTTAAATGTTACTTAAAAGTAATTTTTTATTATGTCTATACATGCAGAGACTAACTCATTTCGTTTGTTTAGAGGGGTCATTTTTGGTTTACAAATAATAAAGTATATTTTTTCCATAAACACAATTACATCGATTTGAGGCACAGTTATAAGGGTTAGGTCGTTTCAATAGTTTCCATTTGATTATATAATCGATGCTTAAATTTGTTTCATTAAACACAAAGCATTCAAATTCTACCCCCCAAATTGGATCATTCTGTGGAAAATGATCTACACCACTATATTAAAGGTAATTTTTACCCCTTAGAATTTACAGTGCAAGATTGGGCAAATAAGGATACCTTTATTGTGCTTTTTTTTGGGGAGTTATGGTTCCTTATCCTTCCAACTGAAAATAATTTATTCAACCTAAGAGGGGGATCTGAAGGGACAAAATGGGGACTGGGATTTATCTATTTTTTAATTGCGAAAATGCAACCATGGTTAACTGGGACTGTGGAACGACATACACAAATATGGAAATGGAAACCCATAATACCACTAAAAGACAGTCATAGTTTGATATACCAGATTTTAAATAGCTTCAAGGAGATATACGAAGCAACTTTTGATGACGAAATGTCCTGTAAGACTGCATTCTGCCCATTAAAGCAAAATAATGTGTTTAAAAGTCAACACATAAGTCAAACACTTGCTCAGGGATATTCTTTTAGGTGTACAGTTGAAGCTGACATGTGGACGAAAATTTTGCTGGAGAATTGGATCTTGAACCCATACCCCGCCCCTTTTAAGAAGTGTTAATTATCCCTACAAAGACTGAAACGCCAAGACAAGCTAAAAGTTACTCTATATAGAGTTTTTGAAGGCAGCTTTTCGAACGGATTTAAGGCTGCAAAATATGACTTTAAAATACCTGCCGGCAAGTTATGCGGCCGGCAGTAGCAATTTGTATATTGAACAAACATAGCTCATACCTTATATGACCGCTTGAGAAACTATCAGTGAGAAAGTGACAAGCATAGGCATCTAGAGAGAGAGACTCGTTCAACATTTTCCTTTTCATGTCGGCATCTTTTTCCTTTGCCGCCTCTTTGGCTTTTTCCATCGCCAACTGATGACCAACGAGGTAGGCTTTTGGCGCTTGCGGCTCAAAATGATCGAAATTTATCGCTGCAATTGTTAGCATTCTGCCATTAGTGGCTATTGCATATTCAGTATTGGTATGAAGTGTACCGTTGTGATATTCCCTCACGACCAGGTCTTCCCCGATCATTCTTAAAAGCGTGGTCACTTGTTCCTGAATCGTATTACGTGGTACACCAGCGAGTGTATTATAAGCTGCCATGAACCTTTCGCGTTCTCCTGGTGTTATTTTAACAATCCCAGTCTTGAATACTTCATAAGGCACTTTTTCGGTCATAATATCATAAGGCCTTTTTCCTTTTCCGATTTTGTATGCTTCTTTAGGCCGCTTCTTTTCATTTTCGATCTTCACCCCGACTGGTTTATATGGATAAGGCTTCTCTCCAACCCCGGGCTTCCGTACTTCTTCTTTACCATGAACTGCGATGATAGATGCATTAGTTAGTGCAAAAAAATCCCCAGCTAACGCTATCATTTGACCAAACGAGAGTTGAATTCCATTCGGGAGTATCAACCTGGTGTATATTCCAGGTTTACTTGGATCATTAATCTTGTTTCCTATCAACTCGTGTTCATCTCCATCGAAATATGACGTTTGTTCCTATGAGATTTAAATAGTTATATTTGTTTGTTTCGTTGTTATTTCATTTAATTTTATAAAGTGTGGTGAAATATATTGATCCACTGATTTGTCGCAGATAGAGTAAAGGGAAATGTGAAAACGATGAGCCCCAAGAAATTAATAGAAACTAATACTCAACCACTAAAGAACTTAGGAAAATAAATTATTTGTGCTTTCTCGTGTAACAAGTTAGTTGGGACATCACAGGCGCATGATTGCCAAACATGAAATAAAAATGGCCTGGATGTTCCTTCATTTCGAGAAGCCTGGAGCTCAGTCCCAAGATTTTCCAGTATAAAACCGCACAACTCTGGAATACCTAAACAGCGAGTTCAAGCAAGTTCACCGAGTCCTTGCCAAAAACTATTAAACCGCGATGCTTAAATTAAACTATCTTGCTGTTTAAAGCTCAATCAGCGCTAACCCTGGGTTCAAATTTAACATTTTGTTTTGGTTTGTAAATTTCTGTTTATTTAAAGATTTCAGAAAATATAATTTAAATCTGTCGGAAAGATGGTTCCTGTTCATAAACAAGCTGTTGGAATTAAGCTGACCAGAGATTGAACAACCGGCCTCTGGTGTCTCTGTTCTACGTCCCACTTCTTTAATATATCAAGACGATGTTTATAATCTATATTACAGATATTTTCGAAAAACAGCGATCTTTATAGAAAATAAAATGGTTTAAGCAGAATCTTAACAATTTTGAGTGAAGGCTGTTTGTCGAGAACTAAGTAGGGAGGATTGAAACAAGTGGATATAACAAGGGATCGCATGACAGAAATAAACAAATCAGACGGATATAGTCAAAAACAAGAGTGGCAGAAACACAATAAGTACTATAGAGCCTTAAGGAAACTTGGGAATGAGGTAAAAATATAAAGTACTGTGACTGACCTGCTCATGTCAGGCAAAAGACAGGTAGAGCTAAACATTAAAACAACGTTCATTACTACGTTAGGAAGGGTGGTGGTGGGGGGGGGGGGCAGTGAAAAATTTGGAAATGAGGTGCATTTCATATCGTTTACGACTATGAAACACTATAAGTGGCATTACACGGTTGGTTTGCAATGTTGCCAATAATAGCGCGATGTTGTTCACTAAACCTTTTCGTTAAAATAAAGCATTCCAACATCTACTGCATGAGATGCAGAACATGAGATGGGAGGGATGCATGTGAGATGATGATACTTGATATTGTACACTTAAATTTTGGTGTCAGAATGATAGAAGGGGGATCTATTTACTCACAGATTTTACGTTAACTTGAGTCACCCGACAAGGCCTAGACGGATATTTTGCTTCGTCGAAAAGAAACTGATATATGGGGTTATATCAGAAAAAGTTACAGATAAAATGAAAGATGTTTGGTCGTTTTTCAAGATAAGGACAACCCTTCTTAATCCCATCAATCTTTCATTTGAAATTGAATGATAATAGGTTAAGACCCGAGGAATGTCGTTGTTAAGACCGGGGTATAATTTTGCTGTTACCTGTGATATTAGACACAGGTTTTATGAGGGTCATAACCAAGCAGAATCAGTGGCGTAACCAGCCCAATGCCAACTATGCAAATTTCAACTCATTATTATTATTTATTTATTTATTGTGTTGATAGCTATGGCAATATTTGCATAGCGGTACTAGTCTAGACGTCGGGCTTGCTACGCCCTGAGCATGCAGAATAAAAAATAGATCGGATATTAAACTTACAGTACACAGTAAATAGAAGAGTAATTCCAATAGTAGCTAAGAATCGATTCTTACTTACTTTGGGTGCAGATAGGACATTTCCCATCAACACAAATAGGAAGGCAACCAAGAAGATTGTAATTCTGTGTCCCATGCTCAATTAATGCTTTCTAAATTTCAACAAACAATTGAATAGATAATTAACTTCAAAGTACAAATATTATTTTATAGAGGTTCATTTGTATTATATTTGAATAGAAAAAGTCCACTATAAAGTTTTGGGGTGACTTCAGAATTTTCAACTGTTTGGAAGAGAAAAGCAACAAGTAATCAATATAAATTTTTTATGTTAAACTAGGAAAAACTTTATTTTTGAAACCACAGCTGGGAATCTGCGTACAAAGGGACCGGTCATAAAGTAAAAGGGGGGAGGGCGGGAAAATTATATATTTGGTGTCTGCACATTTTGTAACCCACCCCTTAATAGCTGCACGAAAATTTGTGGCCCACCCTTAAATTGGTGCTGAAAAATTATGACCCACCCTTTCAGAAATGCGAAAGATACCAGCGTTCTATTTTTCTGTTGCCAAATAATTCTGCTTTACAATACCCAATAGCTATTCAAATGGTACAATTAGCATCTTTTTAAGGATGTTTTAAAAGTTGTGCGGCTAACTGATCTACCCAACACTTTTTAATTAATTCGAAAGAATGTTGGTGGAGGTAGTTTGAAAGTCATTGTTAGTAGACTGCAGACAACTACATTCCTAATTATCTTGCTAGTGCGTTATTGAATTGAACCCAAATCGACGCACAATACAAAATGCACTTTAGAAACAGTTTGTATATAAGTATTGGTTATTTTGAGACAACGAGGGGATATGTGATTTATTCACCGAGGCACGCAGCGCCGAGGTGAATATAAACACATATCCCCGAAGTGCCTCAAAATAACGTACTTATTTTTCACATTGCGAGGTCGCGTTAATTAGTCAGAATACAAATAATTCTTAATGCCATATTGCCTTCGTTATGTTGTTTTTTTCTGATTTTTTGTGCTGCAAAGACATTGCAGGTGAATATTAGAGGGGATTATTAAACGGAAATTGATTAGAGGGGAATATTGAATATATTCCTGGATAAGAACAAAGGAAACCGAACAGGTGAAAAATAAGAGTGCTTATTATCGTTAGATTTATGATGATCAGAAATATGATAATTATATCGATAAGAGTTCACTGAATATTGAAGAGAAAATACAACAAAATCTTGTTCCACAAGACTGTATAGTGGATCTACAATTTCTGAGCAGTCTCTCTAATGGCTCAGACAATTCTTCACGAGAATAACAGCTACAAAAGGGTCTTTTAACACTTTTGAACAGTCGGCGCCAGTTTGAGTCTAGTGCTCATAATATGCAACCTGATGCAACTACTGGATGCAACTACCTGAAAAATATAAGGAGAATTTCAGAAATTTTTCCTATATTCCCATTCGGGGATTTCCAATCTGACAAAGTCTCCATATTCTGACAGCCTGTTTTCTATTGGAAAGGAAAACGTTAAACCAATTATATAAGACAGGATGAATCTCCAATTCCATCAGCTCCTGCATGAGAACATGGTGGTCAATACGGTCGAACCCATTGCTAAAGTCAGCAAAAAAAGAAACGAACACAAGCATTTTCACTGTCGAGGACCTCATAAACAGGTTGAAGAAAAAATAGTAGCGCATCCGTAGTGAGTGGCCTTTACGAGCAAACTGACGGGGGTCAATTTTTCGTGTCAGCTGTGATAGAAGTCTCCTACAGAGAAATCCCTCCATAGTTTTAGCCAAATTACATGTAAGGGACATTGGACGTAAGTCGCTTTCAATTGATTGTGGTGGTGCTCCTTTCGGGATGGGAGATATAATTGAGGATTTACGTAAGTCTGGGATATATGCTTCCTTGATGGATTGATTGTAATTGATATCCTGTATAACCGGAGAAAAAGCTCCGTAGCAAACCTTTAACACTCTACTTGGGAGCTCGTCCGGTTCAACAGATTTGGCTACCTGTAGAGATGACAATGGTCGATAAACCTCTGCTTCAGAAACAAGGAACTCGTTTGGGACATACTGAGTTGGACAAAAAGACGGTAACGGTGGAAGTTCTCAGTTATGCTCAAGAAGAAGTCATTGACTTTATGTGCGAATATCTTAAAATTTCCATTGTCACCAAGAAATTGATAATGCCACTCCTGTTGAATGTCTTGTCCCATAAGACTACTTATTTGTTTCCACCATTTCCGGGGTAAGTCTGTCCCAGTTCTGCAACATTATGTGTATAATAATGTGACTTGGCCGCTTTGATTTCCCCTTGAATTTTATTCGTCCAGTGTTTATATATGGACGAGTTTTTACCATGTCTTTGGAATGCGTTTTTGGCGTTTTCTGATCCATAATCTTGAGTTTATTTGTCATCCATGGACGATCTGTTTGGTGAACTTTTACTGTTCTTTGTGGAAGATAGCAATCGACACCTTGCTTTAACTCCGTGATAAATAGTTGAAACGTGCCTTCACAGGAGAAAGTAGCAAGGACTGGGTTCCAATCTTTTGGGTACGCCAGGCACTATCCCTCATATCACGAGATCAGGAACCAATCCAGGATACCAGAATCCCTTGTCTTAAAATGATAAGATGATTAAGATAATTTGTTTGAGTCAAATCTTTCGATTTCAATCCAGTTGACGTTGGATAAAGACGCCAGTAATTATTACAAGCGCATTTGGCTAGCTAATAGGTTGTCAAGGTTACGTTGAATATGTTGTCGGAGAATAATATTCTCAGATTCGCGTTTAGAGGTCGTATGGTATATTAAGGCTAATTTACACTCAGGAAAATTATCCGTGGATTGGAAGGGACAGGAAAATTTTTCTTTGTGTTAAAGTCATTAGTTCCAATCCAAAGCTCACAAGACAAAGAAAAACTTTCTTGTCCGTTCCAATCCACGGATAATTTTCCTGAGTTGAAACTAGCCTTTACTGACAGTATATGATTATAGATGTTATATTCCTTGGTAAACAATAGGGTCTCATTGAAATCCATACAGATTCATCTCCTTCTTCGTTACATTGCTCTAGCCTCTTACAGTGAATTGTATGTTTTAAGTGGCAGTCCCGCTAAGAGCGGTCCGATGACTTTGACTTCGGAAAATAGATTTCCTTTATTTTTTGTGTGTTGAAAGGCATTGGTATACAAGTGTCCAAAATAAATTTATTTTTTGAAAATTCTTTTTTATGGCTTCGCTAGACGCCGAAACTCATTTTACCCGTGCAGAGCTAATTTCAAGCAAAATCGAAGGTTGAATTTCGGTAAAATGTAGAGCCGCGCTGTGTCAAAACGCCTGACTATCTCCAAATTTCAACTAGATCAACAAGTTAAGATACAATTCAGGTTCCCTGTTCCAAAAAATAAGAGCATTTGAATAAATTGTGAATAAACGGCAGCGACTTGACGGCACACCAGTTTTTGCTTCTTGTTCGGTCAACAAAATTACACTAAAATCGAAGCCTGAGATCTCCAAATGAGGACCTAAAATTACGCTGAAATGTGCTTGGCTGTAATGATTTATACTTATTTTCAGAAGATCTGAAGAAAAACCTGCGGGTATCAATCTATATTTGGCGCGAGTTAAGATTTTCTGGAGCCCATAATCAATGATTTTTGCATAATTTATAGCTAATTAACATATTTCTTGAGAGGCGCTAAAAGTAAACAATTTCTTTCTGACTAACATATCTCAGATGAAAGAAACTACCACAGCTAGTAATACCCTTTTTGTAAATATAGTCGTAATATTCCTTTCCTGACACGCTGAGAGAGCTTTGTTTTTGAATGTTATGCCACATTTATTCAGTCTGACCAGATTCATAATGTCACGAACTTGTATATTTCAAAAATATCAGTACCAGAAATCAGAATTCAGAAAGACCGATTATTCTTTCATTGATTCAGTTGATGGATTTAGTTGATTGATTTAAAAAACTATAAGTATAATAGAACATTTCATGTGTTTCCATTGCCCCTATATAGGGCTAGAATTTTTATCAATATGTTCTATTTTTCTGTGGCGACGGCATATTAACAAAATACGACACAAAAATGTACGTTCGAATTTATGACCGACATATCAGAATGTTATTTATGAAGTTTGAATTGAATTTACTTAACGCGAAATAAATACTAAAATAGGAATTTCAGTTTCTATGCTGGGTTAGTAAAAGAAAAAGCATAATTTTAATTGTATGTTATTTCGATGAATACTATAAAAAAAATTATACGCATTGTTTATATAAATTAGCTAACATTTACACATTTATTACAATAGTAGCGACGTTTGTTTTAGCCATGTAACAAAATAAACTATAAGCATTCTGATCAGTTATTTAACAAAAATATCAAACTTGTGTCTTGTGAATTTTAATTCACAAACTTTTGAAATTTATTCTCAGCTATGGAGCTCACGAATATATTTTTTTTTCAAAGAAAAATATTGAAATTCGATTATTTATAAAATTGATATTTTTGTTAAAAATGTTAGCTAATTTATATAAACAATGCGTATAATTTTTTTATAGTATTCATCGAAATTACATACAATTAAAATGATGCTTTTTCTTTTACTAACCCAGCATAGAAAATTCCTATTTTAGTATTTATTTCGCGTTAAGTAAATTCAATTCAAACTTCCTAAATAACATTCTGATATGTCGGTCATAAATTCGAATGTACATTTTTGTGTCGTATTTTGTTAATATGCCGTCACCACAGAAAAATAGAACATATTGATAAAAATTCTAGGCCTATATAGGGGCAATGGAAACACGTGGAATGTTCCATTATACTTATAGTTTTTTAAATCAATCAACTAAATCAATCAACTGAATCAATGAAAGAATAATCGGTCTTTCTGAATTCTGATTTCTGGTATATTTTTGAAATATACAAGTTCGTGACATTTATATGAATCTGGTCAGACTGAATAAATGTGGTATAACATTAAAAAAGAAAGCTCTCTCAGCGTGTCAGGAAAAGAACATTACGACTATATTTACAAAAAGGGTATTACTAGCTGTGGTAGTTTCTTTCATCTGAGATATGTTAGTCAGAAAGAAATTGTTTACTTTTAGCGCCTCTCAAGAAATATGTTAATTAGCTATAAATTATGCAAAAATCATTGATTATGGGCTCCAGAAAATCTTAACTCGCGCCAAATACAGATTGATACCCGCAGGTTTCTCTTCCGATCTTCTGAACATAAGTTTAAATCATTACAGCCAAGCACATTTCAGCGTAATTTTAGGTCCCCATTTGGAGATCTCAGGCTTCGATTTTAGTGTAATTTTGTAGACCGAACAAGAAGCAAAAAGCGGCGCGTCGTCAAGTTGCTGTCGTTTATTCACGATTTATTCAAATGCTCTTATTTTTTGGAACAAGGAACCTGAATTGTCTCTTAACTTGTCAATCTAGTTGAAATTTGGAAATAGTCAGGCGTTTTGACTCAGCGGGGCTCTACACTTTACCGAAATTCAACCTTCGATTTTGCTTGAAATTAGCTCTGCACGGGTGAAATGAGTTTCGGCGTCTAGCGAAGCCATAAAAAAGAATTTTCAAAAAATAAATTTATTTTGGACACTTGTATACCAATGCCTTTCAACACACAGAAAATAAAGGAAATCTATTTTCCGAAGTCAAAGTCATCGGACCGCTCTTAGCGGGACTGCCACTTAAATTCTTGCACATCCACGGTTCCTTCCCAAACGAGAAGCCCAAAAACTTGTTTTTGATCATTTTAATAATATAAAACAAAATTTTCGCTAGCGCCCGCAATTTTCTGACCAGCGACAACAAATTTCCCTCTTGTTCAACAGAGGGGACTTTCGTCTACGCATGCGCGAGAAACGTAAGCGTGGAGTGCACGGGTTAATCGCGTGACTGAATTCTAAAAACAAACACCAAATTTGCCAAAACTACTCGTGCTATTAAGTCGTTTTCTTCTTCCTCTAGAGTTTCTACGCTCACAATTTTAGGCATTTCCAACATAGAAGTGTTTGCTTTGAAGAACGTGAAAATAGAAATAAAAACTTTGTTGCAGCAGTTTAAATTTGCAGTACAAATATACCTGTATATACTGTATGTATATCTTTTTTGAAGTGAGATGTACAAGTGTAACTTGGCCTTCTTTAATTAAAATCGTACTTCCCAAATTTTTAACTTTATAAAAACTACTTTTATTCGTAGACAAACTATTTGTTAAAAATAATCTTGAATTATGGTGGTGATATAGGCTAATTTCTTTGCTAACTGTGATTCAGTACTCGGTAGTGTACTTGTTGTATATGAACGAAAGTCTAAAATTAATTCCACATCCATCAACAAAAAGGAGTCGCGCTTATTTCTACGCTTTAGAAGATAGACAATTAATTTAATTCACTACGAAGCCGTTCTACAATATAAATTAGAAATCGGCCAACAAATTGCCACGAAATACTACAATGAAAATAGGGTCTCTGAACTCAGTACCTATTTCACCGATTTCACTCATCAAGTTGCTCTGCAAAGTGCAAAGATCGCCCCCTTGCCAAATTTTCATCGAGTAGATCATCGTGTTATTAAGGTTACAGAACACCTTTGAGTGTTAATTTTGCCTAAAATTATTTTATTGGTTTCCATGAGAGCATTAGACTAGTTCTACTATCTGACCAAGTTTGAACGAAAAATGTTGAAAACTCGCAGAGTTATTTAATAAAATACATTTCGCTGCAATAAGAAAAACATTGAAAATGTAATATTCAAATTCAATTTTCTCCCGAAAACGTTTACGGTAATTACTCATTTTCAAACGAGTTGTGCTCCTGCGGGTTTTAACCAATTTTTCTCAAATTTTCACAGGACATAGCTAAAGACGTCAGTTTCAAAATTGTGTTCGGCTTTTTTAAAATTTTGGATATTTTAAAAATAAAGGGCAATTCATTCAAACAATTCAGAAATATATTGCAGTCGTCAAAGAAATCGCCATATCAGCGGAATGACGAAATAAACAAAACTTTCCGAACACCATTTTTTAGAACAACTATTTTACTGTATAAAAATGATATTTTCATAAATATAACTTAAAACCAGCAGGAGCATAACTCAAAAACGTAACGGTACCGCGATTTAAGATTTTCCTGAATAATTCTTACATTATTTTATTGTTTGTTAATTTTACAACATTACCATATTTTGCATGCACTGGAGAACATTTGGTGAAAATTTGATGAAAATCGGACTGATATTGAGCGCGCAGTTGCGATTTGCCGCAAAACGCCAAAAAGGGTGTCCTGTAACCTTAAGTCAAGGATTATGTATACTTTAACATAAAAGAGTAAAAAAACTGGTGATAAAGGGTAGATTTTGAATAAGATACGAATATCTGTATACAAGATCTGAGCGTTATTATGAATTAAGCACTCGATTCTTTCTTTAACAAGATATTGCGTTTAATTTTTTACAAAATTAAAAATATTCACACATTAAGGATATAAAATGTAGCTTGCATTACAAAGAAATGTTGGCTTACCTAAGCTATACATTACATGTCGATGAAAGCCAAGTAAAGCCCTTTCAAAAACGCGTGCCACATTAAACTACAGGTCACATGGCGGTAGAGAACTCGACGAAATATTCAGGATATTTCATAGTCAGTTTAAACGCCACTGTGTACTATTCCTGTGAATTATGATGCCCAACAGACCGGGTAACAAAGATTATCACTTTGTTCGGTTGTTCCAAGAACACTTTTAAGATACAAGGTCCGATTATATCATGTTCTTCATTTGCTTTGCTTTAAAAACAGTCATTAGCCTATAACTTCCAACAAAAAAACCCCGATGCTTTCAAAAAGCAGTGAATCGCAATGCTGAAAACTTCAACATCCTTAGAAATTGTAAGCCAAACATCGAAAAGTAAAATTTGCAAGAAAAAGCTCACGAGCCCGCACTATTTTTATGCAGCGTCGACGAAAGTCCCCTCTACTCTTCTGTTCGTCAATGTTGTTTATATAAACTGTGTCTCTGCTGACACAACACGCCGCGGGCGATACCGGTACAGGTAGCCCGTACATATCGTAACATCTTCCCTTCCAAAAATAATGATCAAACAGTCTACAATTAAGTTTAAAAGTTTATGTAAAAATAACTGAAAGCCAACAGTAATTCATTGTTTATCTTGAATCTAAAGGTTTATGAGTCTCACTGGCTGTTTGCTGATCCGCCCACTCCTTGTTATTTTACGGGAAGCGCTATTTCTGGAGTTGGCAAGCTGACTGTTGGCTGGCTAACTGTTATAGGTGGCTCCTCTGTGGTAGTAAATTATAGGTTGCTGCATTGGCTGCACGGGGACCAAGTCCGGCTGAATGAATGTTGGCACTGCCAAGGGCGAGGTTTCCAGTGGAGCTTCAGCATTACTATTCCTTGCGTTACAACCTGGGGCAACTTTTCCGAGGGAAATCCCTCTCCTCCATTTGTTCCTGCCATTCTTGAGTTGGCTCGTCATTCTGACTGGTTGACCAGTCTTTAAATCTGGTAGCTCTTTGAACCTGGATCGAAATGTTTTTTAGCCTTTCTGCGCTTCAACTTAAGCCTCTTCTGAACGTCTTGTTGGATCTCCAGCTCCGGCTGGTGTGCTGCAAGTGGCAGTGTTGTCCTGTTTCTCTTTGATATCAGCCTTTGTACTGGACTACTGTTCATACCCTCTTGTTACATTCCTATAATCCAGGAAGCACATCCACATATCTCGTCCAGTTCTTTGTGCCTTCTTCTGTAGGGTTTTCGCAGATGTCACTGCTGCCTGTACAAGCCTGTTGGATTGCTTGAGATATGGAGAGGATGAAAAATGCTGTCTGCCAATCATCGGCGAAAGAATGATGCATATTCTGTGCAGTCAAATTGTGGGCCATTATCACTGTAAACTCGATCAAGTATTCCATAGCGGGCAATGTGCTGCTTAGTAGTACTGATAACGTCGGCTGCAGTAGTTTGATGTCATTCATCAATTTTCCAGAATTCGCTGGAAGCTTCAACTGTTATAAGGAAGTCTTTTTCGTCTAGACTGTAAATATCCTGCGCAATGACACTCCACGGGCGCTTTGGAAGCTCTGGCATCATCAGGGGTCTTTGGCTTGTGCTGGCTCAAAATTTTCACAAAGACTACATGCAGCTGCTCATCGGATCTTTAACTTGTTCATCAGATCTTTAACGTTGGCTCATGCCAGGCCTAAAAGGAGCATCCCTTGCACGACGAAAACATGCTTGCTCCCCTTGATGACTATCATGTATGCGAGACAGCAGCTACTTGCGGGGAACAGTGGGGACGATAACCCTATATCTCCCTTGTTCAACACCCCTTTATAGATACTTATTTCATGACGGAACGTGCAATACTCAGCAACGCTCTAATCTGCCTCTGGTTTGGTTTCAGGCCATCGCCGCAACACTATCTCTTTAAGGCGCTGTAACTTTGCGTCTACCTCTGTTTCACGCTGGATACTCCTCAGACCGACATCCGATACTCTTGTAAATTCAAACGCATTTACTTGTTCCACATCCACGCGGCAAACATCTTCTTTCCCCGGCCTCAGACAGTTCCCGGGTAAACTGACTTCGGGTAAAGGAGCCCCGGAAAGAGTGTTGACAATAGACATCTCAGTTCCTTTATTTAAACTTCTGAAGATAGAGTAACATGCCTTGAAAACGCTTTGGAGTTGCTGTCAAGGTCTTCACGAAAATGGCTTCTAGGGGCTTGTAGTCGCCCTGTACGTCCACCGACTCTCTTCCATTGATGTATTGATTAAATATGTCTCATGAAAAGACTATTGCTACGCAATATTTCTCTGTCTGGGCGTTACCTTGCTATGTAGGTATTAATTTCCTGGAAGCAAATGCCACAGGTTGTCCATCATGAAGAAGGGCGGCAAAGAAAATTTTCAAAGAAAATATTAATCTTTGATTCTGCTACTAATGTTAGTGTATTGGTCACGCCTCCTGTATTCAGCATGCACTCTTATAAATAGTTTTTCTTTGTTTCTACGTATTTTCTTGTAAATACTTTGTATATAAATTGACAACGCCGCTCATGAAAACCAACGTATGTTGATGATGCTAGCGTCTTGAAATAATTTTTTACAATACGATACGATTGTTACTGGCTTTCTAACATCTTAATAGCACAGAACAGGATGGTTTGCAACCAGTTTCGTGATACGGTTCACTTTCCTTGCTCTCTGCAGCAATGTGAAAAAATGTCTATCGTGATCTCGAAGCGCTTCCTCTTGTGCATCACCTTGACCTGTGATCGGGTGGATGCCAGGTAAACCTTCAAGTACCTAATGTCGTCGCCTCTGGTATTCTTCGGGGGGCAGTGGCAATCCCAAACGGCATTCTTAACCAACGGTACCTGCCAAACGGGATCCAGAATGTCGTGAGGTTGCTACTTGCTTCATCCAGTACTAGTTTGATTTGCCAAAAGCCATTCTTCGCATCCGCAACCCTAAAAACTTAGGCTTTTGCAAGCTCCGGTAGGATTTTTTCTATCGTCGGCATCGGGTAGTGGGACCGCTTCAAAGCTTTGTTTAAGGCTTTTGGATCGATACACAGTCGAAACTTGGATCCCTTCCGCGCAATAACTTGACTGCTAATCCATTCAGTTGGCTCTGTGACTTTCTTGAGAACCTCCATTTTTTTGTAAGGTTTCAATATATGCTTTTAGCTCGGCTTTCAATAGTGTTGCAATTCTTCCGGGGGTATGCTTAACATGTTGAGCATCATGGTTGATCTGTAGGTGGCATTTACCAGGCAAGCAGCTAAGTCCCTTGAACACATCTTTATATTCCATGAAAATATCTTGTGGAGCTGTTACAATATTTATGCTGTTAGATATAGTGATAAGTTCCATGCTGTACACATCTCTATAGACAACAATGAGCTTTGGTCGCCCTTGATAATCTTGAAGTTAAGCTTGCGACGTTCTCCTTTGGAGATGCTGTTGAGGTCACACTCTTCGAGGGCTGGTACAAAACTTCCATTGTATAACTTTAATTTGGTGTTGGTTGCCTTGATGGCTTGGTTTCCACTCTGCTTGATTTCAAATAAGGTATTGAAGGACATGACATTACAGGTGGCCCTTGTGTCAAACTGGCATTGGATTTGACTTTAACCACCGCGCTTATCCCAAAAGCTAAGAAATACAAAATAACGCTTTCGTTTCACATGTCTTAGTTCGTCAACATTTTCAACATAACTATAAGTAACAAACTTATAACAAATAACAACATAGTTAGTATATATAATATAATTAGTTCCTTTACTAACAATAACTAAAATATGTTCTCTTTTTTTCTTCGCTGGTATGTTTTTCGTGACAGTCTACCAACTTCTCCTCGGATTGTGAAGCTTCAGGAAATATTCCTTTAAAATATCGCGGTTGTTTTCCTTTTGGACGATCTCGGGTGCGATGCTGTCTTTCATTCATCCAACTCCTCACGGCTGGTTTCCGATCCCAATGATGCATCGGCGGCATGTTGTAATGCACATAAAAAATTTAGGTTTTCAATGAGCATTCGAGAACGACCAGAAGACTTCAATGACATACTGCAACTTATCAGACGTTCTACGTCGGCGCTATATGTGGATTTTCTGCAAAGATCCGTGCAAACGCAATTTTGAGGTTTGCGAGGTCATCGGATGGACCTTTGGAATAGTTCTCTAAATGGAAGCTTTCTGGAATCCTCTATATTTTCCATGTTGAGAACATCGTCAAATTCAATTCCATTAAGTCTAGATCTTTGAAAAAGCGCTTAATTGTGAACCTCCCTCAAATTGACTGACTGTTGCAAGTTTACAAATGGCTTTAAAACCTTTGCAAATGCGTCCAAAAACTCTATCAGACACTCGACGATTTCATTCTTAATTGCATCAATGTCCCTTGTGTCAGTTACATAAAGATGGTGAATTTGTCGAGCCTTGCATTCCCACAATTTAATTCAACTCCCTTTAAAAAGGTCACACATGGGTTTACATGGTCCCATCTTTTTCCTCCAAAACCAGCTCGCTTAGAGCTTCAACCCATCCGCCGAGCAGAGCCTAATACCTTTGCCTTTATATTTGATACATTTCTGTCCATGTCTATTAGCGTTGCATAGTCAGATTGTAGTTGCTGCTGACAATGCGAAAACACATTCAACATCTGCTGCAATGAAGGTAAGCAAATCAAGATTGGATTTCTTGGTTAAAAAAAGACAGGAAACACGCATGTTGTTGAAATAGGCAATAAGAGCACGCCAAGACATCGAGATCGCTTCTAACAACGACGTTGTGAATTCTGTCCAACGCACATCGAAGACACAAGTTGATTATAACACGCAACAGCCTTCAGCATTTGCAGCGTCAGTAAGTTCACGCGTCCGAATGCCAGATTCATGATAAAATGCGGATATGTTTGAAAGCTCCTGGGTTGAGTGACTTACTTCCTTAACTGAATTGGTGATAGCTTTCCAGGCCAGCTGCGAACGGTGAGCAACGCACCAAATTTTAATCATCGGTGTTGGTACTTCATCTGGTTCATCTCCCATAGGAAGATTAAAATCACGATCAATCAAAGCCCAAAGACCATTTTTCTCCCCAATATTCACTAATGATCCGTCAGTAACGAAAGAGGAAGCACGTTGAAACACTTTTTTTCTTTCAGTCAATAAAGCTTCTTAATTCTTCACCTTTGGTATTTTCGCCAAGGGTTGCTAAGCATGCCGCAAGTATAGCCTTGTAAATTGGAACCCCCACTGCTCCTCTTTGGCTTTGCAGCGCCAAGAAAAGTATTGTTTTCTTCTCCGTCTTTAGATATGGCCTTAGCGATTAAATATATCTTATATCTATCTGCGTTCTGTCAACAGTTCCGTCACATCTCAAAGAATTATAGCCAGCGAGTCCGACATCTTTGACCCAAGTGAATTTCTATCTGCCTTCACAATGCATTTGAAGAAGTCCCTATGTGCATTTGGTGAAAGGTACTGCAGGTCATTAGGCATATCGTTTACACTCCAATCATCAAAAGAAAAGTCATTTGCTATTCGGCTTACAACCACACGTGAAGGGAAAGAATTGGCAGACAAGGTAAGTCACTTACTGTAGCCCCATGGTAAACGTACAAAAACAGACTATGAACTTTCGCAGCCAATTGTGCATCTGTGCTCTTCCAATTGGTGACAATGTTGTCATATGAAGCTTTTCCGGTCCTTTTATAGATGCATAATAACCTCTTTGCAAATCGTTATCGTTCTGAACGCTATCGTTCTGAACGCTATCGTTCTGAAAACGATATTTAGTTCCCGATTCTTGTACAATAGCCGGAACGTTAACTTTAGGTTTTCTGCTGAAAATCTTGACAACACTGGAGAACGAAAATCGCACATAGTGGCGACCATTCTTGTGTAAGTGTTTCAGATTATCCACTATAGTGTCTTTGCCTTTCTCCGATGTATTTGCAGTTTCACTGGACCTTGGCCTTCGTTGTTCATTTACTGTTGATTTTATATTAGCTTACTATGACAGAATATATATTGTCCCAAAATGCTAAAATATTGTATTAATAGAGAAATAATTTGTATCGTATCAACCAATGACAGCAGAGTGTGCAATTCGAATTCGAAAGCTCTCAACGGAATAATATTATGTCGGGGTATGAGGAGTGACGCTGCCTAAGATCGAACATTTTATGGATTTTTAAGAAAAAAAAGGGCTTGTAATTGCTGAAGACGATGTATGTTATAGGAAATTTACAGTAGTTACTGGGCTTTACGAATCGGGGTTTTTTTTTTCAATTCGATGCGTTATTTAGCGACGCGAGAACTATTTGTGAAGTCGATGCCACTAATTCGAGCTAATTGGAGCAGAAGTACCCTGCCTTCTCTATTTTTTCTCCTTATTAAGTATACGTATCTCAAGCGGATTGAATTACCCCAAATCAACCAAGAAAAGACAATTACACATTGCAGCAATTTAATACAATACTTAAGCATTTTTGGACAATATATAATATTATTCTGTCATAGTAAGCTAATATAAAAATACAAATATACCCCAACCATATATGTGAGCTTGGGATGCCTGTGATTCAGGAAATCGCAATATTGTCATCGTCTCCCATTTAATTAATAAAGGTTTATCCAGCAGTATCCCTGTAGATTGCACATAGATCCCATTTATTCCTGTCATATCCCATTGTTGGACTATTTTAAGTTAGCACTATTTTCCATCCAGCAAACCGCCTTATCGATTTTCTAAAGTCCTTTCTTTTTGGATTTTTTTATTAATTCGGTTAGGATTAGAGTTAGGGTTGCGGCTAGGGTTAGGGGTTAGAGTAGGGGTAGGGTTTGGGTTAGTTACATAGCGATTTAAGTTTTAACTTCTTCCATCTTCCGAAAATGACGTCAGGTCAGTTTGTTGGGTGGAAAATAGTGCTAACCTTGATTTAAACAACATGGCGACAAATTACAAATATTTGATAAAGCAAGTGAAGAATTATCAATGTTGTGTACAAAGAATAGGATTTCAGATTAGAGAAACATTGGTGTTCATCTAAAATATGGCTATTTCCTTTGGATAGGGTAATGGTGGTAACATTATATGATTTTGTCGGTGTATGATGGTAAATTTACTCTGTAAATAGTTAGTTTGTTCTGAAATATTGCTTTTTAACATTGTTATAACCGTTTACGAAAAATTACAGTATCCCAAAAATGGCGGCGTGAGAAAGGCAAATTGTATCTTATTTCTTAAACCACTGCGGTTGTGCGGCATATTTTCAATGTTATAAAAACATCTGATACGAGAAGATAAACATTAGATGATTAATTTATTGATTGTTTCAGCCAGAATTTCCCTCAAACATGTTATGAGTATCTGCTATTTCTGCCTATACGTAACATAAACAGCTTTCAATTTATGTATACTTCAACTTTTAGTTCGTCACCCAAGTTGAATTAGCCTTTCTCACGCCGCAAGTCTGCGAGATAAGGCGTAAAAAAATACCTGTGGTTCCGGTTCCCAACCAACCCTATTTTTTTTGCCGACCCTATTATTTTTTCAACGTACGCGATTGACCGTGCGACCCTATTTTCTCCGGGTGGTTGCAGGCGCTGCCAAAATGGCGTCTGTTGTCACACTAATTATTGAAAAAACCATGAAAAAAAATATATTTCCGACCTACCGACCCTAATTTTTCGCGATATGAAACCGGAATCACACGTACTTTTTGTTACGCCTAAGTCCACATAACAGCGACTTTTTATAATTATTTGGACGAATGATGGGAAATTTGCTTTGTAAATGGTTAGTTTATTTTGAAGAATTGCTTTTCACATTGTTTTTATAATTGTCTGCATTGTTTAACGAGAATTAGATGCCACCCAATAGATGCCACCGGAATATTCGTCATCGTAAGAAAGGCTAATTGAACCTTATTATAATGAACGAATATAATTAATAATTAATAACAATAATGGGATGAATACTGTGTCATACGAGCAACCCAAATTATATTATAAATAGAAATTGACCTACTTTTGACATTTGACTTGCAAATATTGTCCTATTATTATAGTAGAAATACACCCTTTCTAGATCCTGTCAGACAGTCAGATAGCTTTGGTGGACATTCCTTATTTTCTATCGAGGAGCAAATCGCCTCGCACTACTAGACGTACTAAATTTCTAAATTCGGATGTATGTATTTTAGCAAATTGTGTGTGTGTGTGTTGAATTTCACCGTATGACATGTTGCGACTGTACGACAAAATGTGCAGTTCTAAATTTTTCTTTAAAAAACTCTGTTAAATTACATTTACAGCATTAACCTTTGTCTACGATACACAAGCAGCAAATAAATTTACTGCAAGCATTAAATAAATTACTTTGAAGACGCACCAAGACCCCAGCAAGAGGCGAGATGCTCAAAATCAGAGCCAGAGGTGTAACTTAACACCTGCCCGCTTGCCCGGGGCAAGTGAATATCATGACGGGCAACTAATCGTTTTATTTTGCTTGCCCGATTGGGCTAGTTGCCTGGGCATCTTTAAATTTATGTTTTCATTCTCGGATAGTTTTTTATTTTGCATGTACTTGATTCAAATCTGAGGCAGTATAACATAGCCATATAGGGCTGTAGTGAGAGAACGGACCGACAAGCCAGTGGCCATTGTTTGATGGCAAGTGAATTTTATTCAGGGCAACTAATTTTCATGTCCAACTTGCCCTGGGGGCAAGTGGTCAAACAAGTAAAGTTACACCACTGAAAATATGGCACTAAAAGGACAATGAAGAGATCGACTTCTTTCCTACTTCCTAGTAGCCACTGCATAATACACTAGCCATCCAAACCTCTTCTCTAGATGCCCAATCTACAAATCTTGTTTGGGAAGTTTCTCTAGATTCGCGTTTAAGGTGGCTCGATATAGTTATCACAAAAATCCTGCTCAAGATTCAACAATCGCGGACTAAACTTGGTGACCACTTTTACGCACAAGTCGCGGAAACTGATCAACAAAATGAAAGAACTTCCAAAATGACCTGACGTGAGCAGTTCTCGCGCCATCTCACGACATTGCGCGTGTTCTATCGCGTTTTGTCTTTGGTTTTATATCAATTGCTGACTGTCATTGGTTTGCAATTTTATTTTATATCAATTGCAATTGTCATTAGAATTTTCCATTTTAGAAAAGCAATGCGCTATATCTTTCTATTTTGTCTGGTGACCTATGTTCAAATTTTGCATGCTGTATTGCACCGCTAAACACTTTCATTATACAAAAAATAAAAAAATTCTGTAATACCAAAAACATTTTACCGAAAAATACGACATTTTCGCATTCTCCAAAAAAATGGCATTACAGAATTTTTTTATATTTTGCTAAATGTTAGCTTTTCTTCGAAGTAAAATAATGCACGAAAAAAATTGGGGGTCACCATGCTTCTTTTCCAACTGTACGAGACGATGGGCCATTTTTGAGTGAATTTCGTACACGTATGTCGTCATAGCAATGAACTATCTGTTACTAAAACTAATATAATTTGAAAGTAGAGATATCAAAATATGTAAAAAAAACAGTATCTGCTGAATAAATCCTAAAAATGCGTAGTTTGAACATGTCAAAGTGTTGACCACCTGAATTTTTGAAAACTGTATCGAGCCACCTTAAGCAAGATATGTTCATTTCTTCCCAATATAATCCTCTCGACAAAACTATTCAAAGGCTGGTTGTGGAACTGACTAGGGACTGTGGAACAGGGGCTAGGGTCTATAGCTCCTTCCCCAAGAAATGACGCTAAGTCCCCCAAACTGAAAGATCAGAGTACGGTAGTACAGTAGTAGGAAGATTCTTGATGGCGGAGTGAACAAAATTACCGGTACCAAAACTGTGGTCAATGAAATAGTCCTTGACAATTTAAATTAGGGAAGTTTCAGAACCTGTCACAGGAGGCTAAGCCGGCTAAAGATAGATTAAGTTACATAATGTCTTTTATTGTTATAAAATCAAGTTATATATGGTTGAAAATCATGAGCTTTTTCCATCGCGAAGTAGTTCGAAGTTGCTGGAAAGTACAAACCGACTAAAACGAATAATGAGGTATTTTTTTCAGAATCTTTTGTCGTCCAGATTATTTAATTTGGTCCCAGAAAGTACCGGAAATGGCATTTCCAAGCCTCGATAGTTTTGTTTTTTTGGGGGGAGGGGACAGGCTCCCACACCCCCGATGAATTGTTGTACTTTGTCACGGCAGCTATACTGCCAACTGAATACATTTGCTTATCCGTAGTTTGAAGACATGGAGACTCCTGACTGTGAAAGCAACCAATTATATGAAAATGTACCGGACAAAACTTTGCAGCAACCAGAAATATACATCACCAGTCCCCACATCATCAACACAAATGAAGTGAAAAACTATAAGACACGATGGTATATTTTGTTCGTGTACTGTCTAATAGCCATCTTACAAAATATCATGTGGAATACTTGGGGACCAATTCAAGCAACAGCCAGGGCAGTATATGACTGGGATGATTACGTCATTGATTTAATGGCTGCCTGGGGATGTATTACATTTTGTATTGCAATGTTACCATTTGCTTGGATCATGGATGTTAAAGGTACATTGTATTAAGCCCAGGTCACACTACACAACGATAACGATACGATAATTTGTACACGCGCGCTGATTGGTCAAAAATTTATTGTTATCGTCCGACTGAAAAACAAATCGCTCAGGTGAGCGATTTTAAAATCGTTATCGTTATCGTCTAACGATAATTTTATCATTTTCGTTGTTGTGTGGACACTAACACAATTTTTTTGACAATTATCGCGTGTTTACAATTTATCGTATCGTTATCGTTGTGTAGTGTGACCGGGCCTTTAAAACAATTATTGAATTCGGTTTTTGCAAGATATGAAGAATTATAAATTTCGGGCTTGGTAATTCTTGATATCATGCTGAATCTCGTTCAATATATAATTGTGAATTATTGCACGTTGAAGGCAATGTGACAGCTAGTATACATTGAGATATGACCGGGGATTGTTATAAGCAAGCAGGAATGAGAATAAAGTATGATAATAAGATTTAATTAACTGCCATTTGATTTGGTGTAGGTTTACGATTGACAATGATTCTGGCATCTGGGTTACAGTTCTTTGGTGCTGCTTTAAGATGCTTTCCAACTAATAGAAACACTACAGCAACAGTTTTAATGCACTGTGGTCAATTTATTATTGGGTTAGCTGGTGGGATGTCTCCTGCCGCTTTGATATCTTCAACTTGGTTTCCCCCAAACCAACGTACGACAGCAACGGCTATATCGACCGTAGCCAGTTATATTGGAACTGCACTAGGGTTTATTATCGCTCCTGAATTTGTAGATGATATTAAAGATTCAAATATTCCTAAAGTGAACAATCAGTATCATTTAAATAGCACGCAGGTAAATATGTACAAAAGACAAATTAACAATCTTCTGTATTCTGAAGCTGGTCTTCAATTCGTAATTTTTGTGGCTATCATTATTTACTATCCTGCAAAACCAAAGAATCCACCCAGTTTATCTGCTGCCAAAGAACGTGTTGATTTTAAAAATGGTATAAAGGAACTTTTTACAAATTATAATTTTCTATTATTTGCAACAATATATGGAGCAAGTACTGGAGTATATGGTGGATGGTGTTCTGTGTTATATCAAAATTTATCTGAGTATGGTATTTCAGTGAATGCGAAGTTTGCTGGATGGCTTGGATTTGTTGCTGTCATCAGTGGATCTTTTTCAGGAGTGTCGTTTTCATTGTAAGTGACATATATTTTAACCTTTTTTACAGTTATATATGTACAGTTAAAGGCCATGTTATTACACGGTGCAATTTTTCTTGCAACTTGCAATGCAATTCTACTCTTGAGAGTTGTTAAGTAGTGAAATCTGTGAAGAATTTTCGATATGTTGAGAAAACATCAGCGGAGTGTAATGAAAACTCTTATTTGGTAATTTTACATCTCTCAAGAGTAGAATTGCATTGCAAGTTGCAAGAAACATTGCACCGTGTAACATGGCCTTAAGTTACAGTACGATGTTGCAACATAGGCAGTTGTAAATATGTTGCAGTTTCAGTTATTACGCTATAGTTAAATTTACATGCAATTCAAAGATTTTGGAACGGTTGCTGCTAAAGCGATAACATAATATAGTCATGCATTTGCAGGTGAAATTGTAGTTACAATACAAAATATAGTTGTAGCTTACAATTTTGGATACATTGATGTAATCAACTGATTTTGAAACGAATTCGTGATTCCCAATGCCCTCGTTGCATTATTTACTCGCGCATCTAATTTAATAAAACCATTTTAACATTTGTTCAATTTTACATTTATAACGGCTATAAATTGCAACTACTGTATAGCTACAATTTCATTAGAGAAGTTCAGAATTTATTTCCACTACCGCTTTACTGATACCTCTCAAAGGCTTAGTACGCATAGGATTGGCTAATCCAGTAGGATTAGATTCATCTGATTTGTTATTAATAAATGGTAGCGGTAGTAGAAGCTAAAATATGAAACTCTCAAATGATATTAGCAGTAACTGTGGCAATCCAAGGGAGTTTAGCTTCGGGTATACTTTATATGATCGTTAGTTGCTGCTGTTTAGGTTCAGTCATAGGCAATAGGGGGTCTGGCAGTCCGCAGATTATAAACTGGTAACCCGCGGCCCAGGAAAATTTAAAGGGTGACTGAAAGTACAACCATGTCTGTCCACAAAAAGCAATCCGTGACAACAGGAGTTTCAGCAGACAGTGAATAGTCTTCAAGTGAATTATATAGAAAACAATGAATTTGATCGCCTTAGGGACCGGTCATTATTTATGGCGGGTGGAAGATAAAAGGGTTGGGTAAACAAAATTTTGAGTACGTAAAAGGTTGGGTAAATGAAAAACAAAACAACTCAAGGGTTGGGTACCGATATTGAAACTTTATTGTCATTTCCAAAGCATGACTCTGAAAAGCAATGTCAACGGTCATATGTCAATTTGAATCAATTAGAGTCACTATCTTGATCATTTTCCGATTTGTTGGGAGACAAAATAATGCTGTCTCCAAAGAACGTACATGTGCAGACAACATGAAGCTTTAGACTGCAGAAAATTTCACAAGTCGTTATCAAACTCGCGTCACAGAAGTGGTAAAGGACATGTGTGACAACTGAATGGGTATTTATTTTTTAATTGATATTTGAGGTTAGGTAATCAAATTTTTGACTTTTTAATGTTGGGTCAGCAAAATATTTGCCACGAAAAACATTTCTCTTCGGTGCCACCGGCGCCATAAATAATTACCGGTCCCTTATCGCGCCCAATTCTTCGAAAAACCACTTGAATATTTCATTCTGTTATGAAATAATACATAATAAGGCCAAAATAGTGTGTTCTGTTAGATAGAAATTTATCATTAAAATTAGGTATGATTTCATGAACTCACGCACATTGATCTTTATCGGCTATTTTAACTAACAAAATCGCAACTTGATAATTGTAATTCAAACTCTATATGTAATTGTACCTGTACGTGAACGTATATCTAACTGCTACTACATGTACGACTTTAATTGCAACATTAGTGACCGTAAGACGTGTAACTGTACGCATGGCTGCAATTAAAGAAGCGGTGTCACCTCGTGAGCCTCTTCCCTGCGCATAACAATAATTATAATAATAATATATTTATTTCACACAAATTGTTACAATATTTTGATAAAGCCGAAACCATAGGCTTATTTGGCGAATATAATTGAAAGTACAGGTGGTGGTCGGTACAAACAATTAAATATGAAGGATGGATTCCAACTGTGCATTATAGGGAAAAACGAAAAAAACACATTTAAATTAGTAAATGTAAATGCTTCATGGAAACCCCCGATATATACAGCCAAATTCAGTCCAGTCTCTTTTACCCCGGAGCCATTCCACATGCACATGTTAGCCATTCTGAAAGGTTAAATAGCAGTTTTTTAGGATACTTCTAAAATCTTGAGTTGTAGTCAATGATTGCCGAATTAAAAGAGGAATAGAATTCCACTTTTTTTATGGAAACTTGAAAACGTCAGACATACCGCTAATCTGAAAACTAGGAGTGGATAGTGCATCAGTGTGACCACCACAAATCTACTGTGGTGTTGCTGACATGTTAGAAGAGATTTTAACCTTCTTGTCGGTGGGAAAGGATAAACATTGAATCGAATATAGATTTATCAATAGTGGAGTGATGAGGTCACACCAAGATGGCTTCACCAGTCTCATTATCTAGTGTTTAAAATGTTCTAAAACTTTTAGAAGAGTACATACAGTACCAAAAGTCATTTGCATGATAATGTATCTATTTTGAACACGTCGCGATCTGATTTGCAGGGATTTTGACAGACTTTAAAATCTCATTTTCAATATTCTGGCTTCAACATTGGCTGATTTAATACAAAATTAATACAAAAGGATAAACTATTCATAGGTCTTCCTTTTATTTTATTTTTTTTTATATAAACTTTATTAAAATGTTTGCCTCAAAAGCCATAGGCTTATCAAGGATCGAGGCTCACACGAACTTACATTATTTTTTTATAAAAATAGAAAAGAAATATTTACAAGTATATAAACACAAAAGACAAGACAAGAAACAACCAATAACAAAAAGAACGTATAGTCACAAAGACAATGGCATGAAAAGAGACTAGGAGAATCGACAAGTATCCAAAATATAACGTTGTACAATATTAAATAATACACAATTTTCTTTATAACTCAGTTGGGTAGATCCTTTTAACATAAACTTAACCTTCTCATTGTCACTACCCACTTGCCATTCTTGACCACAAACTTGTGCAGCAGAGGTAAGAAGATTTGTACGTTGAGCAGCAAAACAGGGACATGATAACAAATAGTGTTTAACAGTTTCTCTTTCTAAACCACACACACACACATAGGAGAATTACAACAATTTATGCTATATAAATAACCATTTAGAGCACAGTGTCCTAATCTTAATCTTGTATGAAAAACAGAAGCTTTTCTCGAAAGTGAAAAATTAAGCCATTTATCATAATAAAGTGAGTGATAAAGTTTAGTTACTTTAGCTTTAAAATTAACCTTGGAAATTGAATTTCTAACATCAAGATCAATAGTGTTCCATAAGGAAATTGTTGAAGGAAAGAAAGACTTTTTAAATTTTTCGGTTCTACATCTATACTCTGTAATATTTTGTGCAGTTCGTAAAGGAATATAAGATCTTTCATTCACCAATTTAGGCAAAAGATCTGCTAAATATGGAGCAGTATGTTTGTTGACTATCTTATAGAAATGACACAATTTGTGAATCTTTCTTCTAACGCTCAACTCTTCCCAAGCAAGTTCATCCCGAAGGCGTCTTGAACTAGTACCTGCTATAGCCCCAGTAACGACTTTAGCTGACTCATATTGAACACTTTCAAGTAACTCGCTATTTCCAGCAGAACAATTATCCCATATAAGATCCCCATACTCCATAACTGGACGTATCAAACTTTTGTACAAACAAACCAGAGTTGACCTATCAATTTTAAACCTTAGTGACTTTAACAAATTCCTTTTATTTTAAAAGATCCATAAAATTGCTTTAAAACACGCGCGCAATGCTTATATTCTCGCTTGATTAATCTACACTAAAACCGCTATAATTCATACTGCATGAAGGATGGAGATTATATAACACCAGAGGAGGAATCGTCAGTATACCGTGATGCATTGCGGTGGGTTTTTTTCTCAATTGTGAATTTCGCGTGCGATCGACGAAATAATTGAGAGTTTTCATCGGATTTTTTGTCGCTGAAAATCACGAAAGTTTTAAAGGTATTTATTAACAATATGTTCTTGGGTATTGAAATTTACTATATAAATATTTAATTTTGGTTATTTGATACTTTGAGGGCGAATAATTTGCATATGTTTTGACCTATTTTCCGGGTCACTGCACACGGCCGGAAATTAGCTTTAAAATATGATGGGGTCGTTTATAGTTTTAAATAGAAAAAAGTGAAAAAAATCATACCAGTACATAGAAGAGAATTTATTCTTTCAAATGATACCAAGAAATCAAAAACGACCCCTCAAACCGAGAAGTTAATGGCGTTTCAAAATGGGGTATTTGGTACTTGATTTATTCAAACCAGATTCAAACTATGCGTAAACACGCGACATCCTGGTTACCGCGCGAAATAGCGCGAAAACACAATGATATTCAAATTCATCATGCAATGGCATGCAATCATTATTTTTCAGTTTTGATATATAGGAACGTGAATTCATATCCTTTATCAATCTATTTTCCATTATATTGATGAATAAGTAAGAGATAGTTACTGTATAAAGCAATGTTGTTTGTATTAATAATAGGATACGATATGGCCGAATCTCGTGATGTTGCTGATGAGAATACTGCTAAGCGTTTATATGTTTTGAGTGGTAATACACCAGGCAAGCCAGATAGGAAGACCAGAAGGCTTTCTCGTAATGCAGCATCCAGTCGAGCTTTGTTCCAAGGTGGAACATCACCCAAGGTTAGTGTTCATTTTTGTTTTACTGTGAATCTGTGATGTTTATATTTATTAATTGATAAACTATAACCCATCTATTATTTGGCCAAAAATATATGTGAGGTTTATTGTGTAATGAAGTATGATCATTTGTTGTTGGTTTTTATAGTTCCTCAGTACAAAGATTTACAAAACTAGTCATACAATGACAAAGTCCCCTGTGAAACATCATAAATGGACATTTAATGAGGATAAAGCATTTATTGAGTTCATTTCAATTGCCAAAACTGATCCTAAGTATGGACAGTGTACAACTTCTGTTCCTGAATGGCCAGGATATAAAGAAAAGAACAGCTTTTGGAGTGATGGTGCTAAACATATTCAATGCAGCACTGGTTCTAACATTCTCCTTACTAGTAAGTACTTTCGACTAAGGAAATTTTCGGCAGGAAGAAAATTTTGTAAAATGTAATTGGCTGCGGAAACAAATTTTGAAGTTGAGAATTTTCTACTTAACAATGATATTATTTGGGGAAATTTTTCTTGACAGGAAATGGGCCTCTGCAAAATGCCTGGAAATGCCATTTCAGTGGGTTTATATTTTAGAATTTTCACAAATAAATGCCCTCGGATCCCCTACCCCAAGCGAACAGTACCTTTGGCACCTGACATTGCCGCCTACTCCTTTCAAAATGCCTCCTACTCCAAATTTTATTGGGAACCCTGCTTTTGTGGAAATAGAACTTTTACACATAAAGTCAGGTATATGAGTATTGTCAAGATGCTGTTTTAAATTATTGGGCAGGTGAGAGGGTGTGATCACTATGCTTTCAGTTTGACAGGTTAAGAGCCCCCCTCACAGAGTGTACTTTTGTTGAATGTCATAAATGATGCTGCATGGATATGCCATTGACATATGTTATTTACATCTTATGAACTCTATTTTCCATTGCTAGCTTTAGGTTATGTTCTTGTCAAAACGATGCCATGAATGACCCCATAGTCATAATCACTTCATATTTCTCTATAATAAAATGGCCAATGTTCCGTCAACACCTGATGTAATTATTTCAGAACAGTACAATTAACTTGTTCCATTTTATTTTTTAGATAGTCGACTAAGGTCAAGGGTATACAATTCCTACAGAAAAAGATTTGTTTCCTTGGAGGATGCTGAATCTCATTTTGGCTTGTCTATATGTGACAGTTTGGCCGAGCTTGTAATTGACAACAGAAAAGATCATTCTACCAAAACACGCAAGCCTGCAAACATTGAATCTGAGACGTACAACGAAACAGCATCACAATGTGAACTATCACAAGCTGAACCTGAATTACCAGAGCCTAAAACACCAGAGCCTAAAACACCACAACCTGCAGACATTGCTCAATCATTGCCCACATTGGAAAGTGTATTAAAATTGGCAAGCCATTTGGGGAATACTGATTTAGAAGAGTTATCAAACAAGATCTTTCAGAAGCTTACTTTTTCACACAATCTAACATCCAATCCTGCAAATTTTTGTTCATTATCTATTAAAGCAATGCAACTGTTCAAAAAGAACAATAAGAACAACCTTATGTATAAATTTGCATTGGCATTGTGCAAGACTAAACCTGGTACAGATGAGCCTGTATTTCCAATGGACAGAATGCCTTTTGGATTGGTTGAATATCAAATAGAGTTCTTCAGTTGTACTCATATTAAACAAGTAAGTATTGTCAGTAGTGCCAATTGTAACACTTTCAAAAGCAGATTAAAAATCATATCGTGGAAGTTTTCTGAAGGAAGTACATAATATACTATATATATATACAGATTTCATGTATTTGCCATAAAGTTCAATTAAACAGACTCAATAAATGTAATTAAGTTAATTACATTTATTACTGTACATTATTTAACAGTTTCCATTTAATACGTTCTTTGTATTCTTTTAGTTCTTTCTGATCTTTCTTTCTTTCTAAGTTTCACTTTAGTATTCTTTTCAAACTACTGTATATCCTTCATTCACAACTCTGACACAGACCCAGTGTAGTATTTTTATGCATAATACAGTAAGCTTTTTCATACAATTTTCTTCTATCCAGATTAAGATGCCAGCCGACTTCCTTCAGTGGCACGAAAGTATGTGTGCAGAATTCCCCACACGTTTCAACCGTCTGTTTAGGGGTCCAATGTGGAGTGGTGTGGATAAAGAGCACCATGGTTACCCAATCAAGGTTAGTTAAATGCCTATAAATAGTATTATTTAGAAGAAATCTTACACATTAGACAATTTTTCTTATCAGTTACAAGAGGCTAGAGAATATAATGTTGAATGTGAATAATGGTTAACATTTATAACCATTTTCCATTGGCTAATCTTATGCTTATACAAAAGTATAATCATTATGATGGAATATTTGACAGGCCCATTGTGATCTACTTAACTAGGGTACAGTAACAGTATGTTGTACAACCATAAATTTCTAACACTTTTCCAATAATTTTAAAATTGTTTAGGCCTGTCTGATTTAAATTAAACAGCAATTTAATGGTATACTGGAATGTACAGTAAATACTGTATGAATTTACATTTTTCACATTTCATATATTTTCAGGCAAAAGTCAATGTAGCCTGTATTGGGACTCAGGCAGTTGCAACAAAAACAGCATCGTCTAACTTCAGCACTGAGCCTATTATACAGGTACTTAATACTGTATGCAATCATTATGGTATATTATTTGGTACATTTCTATAATTAAAAATAGTTTTTTGCATTTGTTGATTGGAGCATTCATTGCATTGGTATCATACTAACATTTTCATTAAGCTATCCACATTTTAATTAAACATATAATGCTGCAGTATTTGAAAAAAAAAGAAGCTAAATTATCTCCCTGTTCCAAGTTGTTCCAACCTACAAACATAACCTTTGACAAATGTACATAGAGTACATTTGCTCAAATTTTTTGGGGGATTCCAATTATATTAAACACAGGCTGTAAATACAGTACATCCAGGCAGAGATACTTAGCTTATTGTACAAATACTGACAGTACTGTAACATGTTTAGAATGAAGTATGGTTATTTAATAGGCTTGCTAACATGACACTATACAGTACTGTACTGTACTGTACATAATAATTCATGTTTTGCATAATATTTATATTTAGGTGCAAGCATTAAAAGAGATGAAAGCTGCCTATCCTTCTGGGAGATTTTGGATTAAAGGTGATGGATGTGATATTAAACCAGCACTTCAACAATCAGTGAGAGGAGTTTGGAATGGAGATACTGATTTGGGAGATGGTGTGTTACAAGCATTACGAACAGATTATGAATTGCGAATGAAAACCTTTAAGAATTTAGCATCACCCCAGGAGAATATTGAACAGGTTAAGGTTGACCTTGAGAATGTCACTGTTAATCTTGAAACTGACAAGCAATTTTTAGTGCAAGGAATGATGAAAGCACAGAAAAATTATACAGACAAATCTAGAAAACCAAATCCATCGAAGAAGGTGTTAATGGAACTGTCATGGGAAAGAGTAGAGTACAGTGACCTATTACAACAGTGTCAATCTTTGCTTTCATATGTGAAAACCTTGGAAGTCAGTGTTGGTCAAAGTTCACAAGTCTTGCATGTGCAGAAGAGTATGTGTGACAAGAAGACTGATTGGGAAAATTATCTAAGGAACTTGTTTGTGAAGAGAAGACAACCTGCGGCCACCCATGTGTTCATTTTCCTTCTATCTGATGAATGCCGCAACAAAAAACCTTACTGTCTGCCAATTCAGTATGTCCCATACCATTCCCTTAAAGATCAGACTGTGAGAGAGCTGACTGATAAAATAAGGAAAGAAATGGATAATCTTGGAATATAGTACCCTTTGCATTATTAATTTGGATGAAAAATGTGTTGGATGTTTAATTGCTGCACAAAATTTCAGACAATTTGCTTCAGTTTAAGCCCTTCAACTATTCACACAAACTTACATTTTTCCTTGCATTTTCAAACTTGCATTTGCCCAATTTGCATATGTTAGCAATATGCAAATTAGGTAAAGGCATTATTAAGCATGCGAAAGGCTGATTTTTAGGAAAAAATGGATAGTTGAAGGGCTTATTAAACTAAAGCAAATTTTCTGAAATTTTGTATCCCAACATATTTTCTATCCATTAGCTCAAAATACAATTAGTTAAAGCTTTTAAATTTTGTGCGCAAGCCATTTTTAGTTTGTTGAAAAAGACACCCCCCCCCCCCCCCCCGGTTCACAAAATTTGAGTTCGGGAAATTTTTTTCATTATTCTACCTTGCAAGTACCCAAAGAAGCTAACACATCAAACACTAGATACTGTTTTGCAAAATTGAGAGCAATTTCAAATCTTTTTTTTATACTAACAGTACACCCTGTATAGGGTACACCAGAGCACATGCCAGCTAATCTGTTATACCATAATTATAAGTGTCAAAGTTCATGTATCTATTATCTCATTGGTTGATTTTTGGTTGCATGAAGAGAGAAACATGTTTGCTCCCCACTTTATGGACTTGAAATATTATACTGTAGGACATGCAGTACCGTAAGTCCAAGGGTTGAATTGATATCAAATTTTAGTCGCCCAAGTGACTAACAAAGGAGTTAAATTGGGTGAATTGCAATGCAGATTTGTTGATTCCTAATCTATGCAAAAAATAGCAATCTCGGGTGTCCTAGTCAATGATTTGAATATATTTGATGGTATGGAAACCGAATCGGATACACATATGGAATTTGATATCGTACATTAACCCCTGCATTTTATCTTTTTAATTAATTAAATTATTAACCATACTGTCTTCATTTAATATATTAATGTAGGTTTTGTTACGGATGGGGAATTTAATAGCCTGAGGACCAAAGGGAAAAAACGTCCACTTCACTTGGTGCAGTTAATACGGGATGCTCGGGAAAGTGTCATGAGGAAATCAAAGTCATCCTTGTTGAAATTGCTTGTGAAATTAGGAGGTAATGTCTATTGTGTCATTATCTTTATGTCTACATTGTTTCCAAGTTGTACCCTGTGACATCATGACCCCTGACAATGGCTGCAATTTGGAAACAGTTGATTGCCAACCTCACCTACTATATTGTTTGCGGCGTACCGTGCTAGTGACGTGTAATACTGTAGAACATAAACCATTGAAGACATTAAAGTAGTTCAATGTACTGTTCATAATTATTTTCCTAATCAATAATTTTTTTGTATTGTTATAGACGATGCTAATGGAATGCCTTTCACAGAAGTAGTAGATCCAGCAATACCTTATGATATAATTAATCTGCTTCATAACCTGAGATTTGCAGAGGGATGGAGTCTATTAGAGGCTGTAAATAGCATAAGGATGTCCTTAGTACCAGAAGGATATGAACCTTATCCCTTCAGGAATGGAGTAGAAGAATGTCTGGAGGATATGTTGAAATCTGTTGTGGCTACCTATCGATTTAGGTATACAATGAGCAAGTATGTGTCTGAGGGTGTAGACTTTTCAACATATCTTTACATCCCAGAGATTGATGAAGCAACTGGCGAGGCATTCCACGAAAGGGAAGATCATTGCCATATTCTCAAACGCATCTGGAAACACACAAGGGAGGCAGGACCATCAGGAACTAACTTACAGGGCTTTGATGATGCAATGCGTGATCCCAACACTGGATTGACATTTGCAGCCCTTACTGGTGAAAGAAAGCAATCAGTGGTTGATGCAGAAAGAATGTTGTCATACCTTGTTTCCAAGTTTCTCAATGAAAATGGTTATGAGAAGGAAGGAGCATATATCAACATTGTTGCAGGATGGCATGAGGCTGCAGATGGTAGAGGTCTTCCCGAGCTTGAGCGATGTAAGAAGAACTACGCTATGCTGAACATGATCCTGGATGACTGGATGCCTTGGCACAAAACAACACCAGATCTATCTACCATTGACATTAACAGGTGATGGATATGCTGTACTGTACTACATGCACTGTACTGTACTGTACTGTAGTGTAGTGTACTGTACTGTATTAAGTAAGTGATTGGTTATTCTCTCAAAAAGAAAGAAAAGGCAAAAATAGAAAAAGAAAGATAGGATTTTCAATGAAATACTGTAAGTCTGTTAATTAAATTAACAGAAATACAGTAGATGAACATGTGTATTACAGTACATGTATAACATCTTACAGTTAGTAGCACTTACAGTTCAGTTAATCTTCCTTAGGCCAATCAAAGGGATTTGTGGTTTTTCGAGAGAGACTGTGATTGCTGTAACAACCAATATTGAGAGCATTGAATACCGCAGAAGAGAAACTGATAGAATTGGCTATCCTGAGCATCCTAGAGCTGGAACGTCAGATGATGTAGAGGCATTCATATCATTGTTGCACCGTTTTCTTGGGAATATCTTTACAATGAAAGACATGAAATCCTTATGGAGGAAGGTTGTGAGGTACATAAATATGGGCAATTGCTCTAAACATTGCATGCAGAGTGTCTGTGTTCATGATAAGTAATGACTCCGGTTGCAGCAATACTCTATTCCTTTCCACTTTCAGAGAGTATTGTAAACGTATTGATAAAGATTTGCCCTTTTATTACTGGACAAGCAATGAACGCTTCATGGAGTTTGAGGAAACCATGCCTAGTTTCAACGAAGTTGTGGAAGTTCCAGATAACACAGAGCCGAAAGATCATCCTCTCCGTCTTCACAAACTTTCTGTCAACAGACGAGAAGATTCTTCCATCCCCACATCAGGACGTTTATCTTTGCCAGCACGCAACCAAGTTACTGTTCGTCATCGTCTTCACAGACCTGTCGTGGAACCCCCGTTATTAGAAGGGCTAATGGAAGGACTCGAAGAGGAAGATCCTCTGGAAGATGATGCATTCCTAATGGGCGATGAGTAGACCTGGCTTGCATTGTTGGAAATCTTAGCAATTACTGTAATCTCTCTAATAAGCTCCCCTCTCAAATAATCCCCATCATGAATGATCACTTTCACTGAAGACATTTATTAACAATATTTTTCACTTTCTTAACACACTGGATTGAGCAATACCAAAAAATGAATAAGTCCCTCTTCCCAACAATCTCCCCCCCCCAAAGGTGCATAGAAAAATAAGACCCCTGTATACTTATTAAATTAAAGAGATTACAGAATTGTGTTTGGTCCATTGAATGGAGCAATACCCCCTGACAAGTAAAATATCTGGCGTTAGACAGTGTAAAATAATAAACTAGGGTGCATTACCACTTGAAGGTTTAATGTGTAAGACCTTCTCTTGACAAGTAAACCATAAGCTGGCAATTTGCTCAGATATTCCATAGCCTTAGCATTGTAACTGACTCTTACCATGATTCTGTGTGTGTCTTCAAATATGCACCTCAATGTGTTTCTGACTTTTCTCCATGAGGGGTGGGTCCGGAGGGTGAGCAAATATTAATTTTGCATGCAAGAAGATATATTCTCAAGACAGGTATTTTTAAAATTCTATAAACCTCTGAATATAATCCCCCCTTGTATAAACCCACCATGTTCATTAACACTCAGGCCTTTCTGAATTTAAGGGCTCCCCCCCCTCCCCCCCGATGCAATATATTGATATTTTCAATAAATATCGCTATTTCAAAAATGTTGAAAGTTAGCATTGTACTTTGTCTAATGCCAGACAAGATTACTTGTCAGTGGGAGCATGTGTATTGAATAAATATGGGCACATTGCAAATCAATGGGTTAACATTTAATAACCGCATTTTCCTACTTTTTTCTGTTTGTACAGATGGTGTAAAGACAAGCCCGACAAAAGAAATGTGAATTACATTCAATGCAAGACTACTACAGGAAAATGGTTCAATTGCGTTACTGCAGTGTCTGATACTTGTACAGTTAGATTAAGTATTATTGGGTTATAATGTGCAGTAAATTCTGTTTTGCAGTTTGCTTCAAAAAATGCACCATATGCTAATCACAATAAGACATAATTGAAAGCAATTACAAGGCTAAGCATACATGTATCTCATCATGCAGACTACCCAGTAAAGCAATTATAATGCATGTTTTAAACTTTATTGATACTTACTTAGTTTTACATTATTTCACATTACACCATATTATATATTATTGATATTACATGGGAAAAATAGTTTTTGTACATGCTGTGGTAATACGTAAAATCATGATTTTACAAACTAAAGTTAACATGTAAATATCATAAAGTCTAGAGGTATAAATAATTTTATGACTCTAGATAATATTTTATACAGTAGGTTTAGATAGGGGTAGGCACATTAAAAGCACTGTTTCCTGTTCTGCTAACCTTATACTTTCCATGTATTTTGGTTAAATGGAAATAGTGCAACATTTAATAAAAATTCTGTTTGAGGTGAAAAATCTAACAATAAACTATTTTCAAAATCAATTTACTTGTGTCTTTATTATTCTGCTTATAACCAGTAACCGTAGTGTACCAGAACTGCATCACTGCATGTGGCTGGGCAGAGTTATATATGTTACCATTTATGTTTGTGTCTGTTTAATTTGTCTGCATGGTAGCATGATCGATACACTGCAGGCATACACCTCAAATCTGGGTACAAAACCTCTGTCTCATCAATATCACATGTACCTCTTCATCAGATGATGTCGACTCACAATGAGATGGCAGATCTACTAAACAGACAGGATTCATATGTTGATGGTAGCAATTACATGGTGCTTGACTTTTTAAATTCAGTGGTGGAGTACAGCATCCAACTTTTGACTTGATGGTGATGGTAGAATATCAAATTCCCACAAAATATTACATCATGTATTGAATATTCTCCTTGCCAGGGTCATCCAAGTCGAAGAACTACATACAAGATATACAAGAACAAGTCAGTTATATTTATAGCCACAATAACTTCAGGAGATACTGTATAAAAGCTTGTAGAAAGTCCTACATATATCCCATAAAAATTTAAAGTGGCCTCCAAAATAACTTTTAAGCCAAATCTTGTTCTGGCGATATAACCCGGCGTACTGAATCGATGAAAACCGATTATCGGAAATCCAGTCAATTGATGGTAATCTGTAATTACTTAGTTGATATCGATTGACGTTGGTCAATCGATGACCAATTGATAGTCCAATATTAATCGATTAATAAATGTCAATTGGTATTGGTATTGAATGATATCAAAACTCATCGATTATCGATTAAGTATGCCGGGGATATAACTGGTGTTTATATATTTATTATATATGGCAATTTTATAATACCATATTATTAAAACATTTGATGTTTCTACAAAGTTCGCTCGAATATCTATAAATTCAATATAACCTCTTTATACTGTTAAAAGCTCACCTTAAAAACACAACTATAATGCATCATTCGGTAAACATTTGGGCAACTTCTAATATATTAACTCCATTCACAGTTGATAGAAAAACGGCATGGCTTCTGGCGTCCAACCTATCTGAACGGCTAACGTTAATCTTACTGCACTGCCACTGCTCAACACATGTTACAGTACTTCATCAGGGGCTAAATACAAAGGCTGCGAGGACACAACGAACATAAATCAAATGAGGTGCTTCGAAAACAGAAACTTTTAAATATTCCCATGCGCCATTTTCTAAAACAAAACGATTATATAGATTTTCCGAGATGTGTTTTCAACGACAGCCTCCGAACAATGAGCGCGCTGCGCCGGCGAATTGATAATATGTATTAAACCGTCCAAAACCGCAATGCATTGTGGTATACTGACGAGACCTCCTCTGATATAACACTAGAGGAGGCATCGAGGATAAAATTTGTGAACGGAGCTAATGAGGGGCAAATTTAGGTCCCGGATATAAAATCATGCTCTCTTTGGCTAAATTGAAACTCCACACCAATGGGAACATGAGTACATGTATCCGGGACTTGAATTTTCCCCCCATGCCAATAGCCGCATTCTTTTGCATGGCATGAAGTACATCTTACACAGTACAGTACATGCGAATAGCGTGGCATCATCCCCGAACCAACGGCGCGGAGCGCCGTTCAGGGCGTAAGCCCGGGGCGAGAGTACTAACTCCCCCCGGCTATTTACACCCGGCGAAATCTAAAGTTCATCAGTGATCGCGGGCGTGGTTCACCAACGGTGTTGAGTGGGTGGTCATCCACACTGATCTCAAAAATATGGCTGATTGCTTGTTAGGAGTGGGATAAGCAATATTTCAATTTTAAAAGACATATATTTGGAAAATCGTTTCATATACAACAAGCTTGAAACAATTTCGTTTGAAGAAATAAGAAGAATTGATTTACAATGGGAAATCGTGAAATATACGGCAAGTTTGCTTTGAATATTTAATGTTTACGAATTTTGTTGCTTTTAAAACTTTTTGCCTAAAAGCATGAACTGTTTTCCATTTTAGCTCTAAGTTTCATAAATTACCGTTTAATTATTTGAGAAAAAATCTTAAAATGTAAAGGAGAACAAATCGATTTGAAGACTGAACTGAAATTACCTAACAATTTGTTTTATTTGTATTAAACTTATTATGTTTTATTAAGTAAAAACAGTTTATCGCCAAATGTAGTTTAGTTGAATGAACATTTCAAAACATTTTACAAACGTTTCATGTAAATTTTAAACATTAAATCAAAGCTCACAAAATGCAAAATAATATACCTACAGTATATATTTCAGAAATTTATTGTTGTATAGTTAAAAGTACGAATCTTTCACATATTTTGCAGTGTTGTAAAAACAATATGGAAAAATTAAAAATTTAATGCATGAGTCAATGTAAACCCCGCCCCCCCCCCCACCACACCCCGGGCCAAGGTGGGGGTTAATTGGGGATTGGTAGGGGTTTAGATCAGGAAACACTCCCAAGAGGGTGGAGGATTTGAAGCTTTTAGAATTTATTTATCCCCAGGGTATGGGGATTGGGTAGGGATTAGTAATGAGCCAGTTGTCGATTTTTCAGCGGTTGTTCATCTCAAGTGGTGTTTTATCATCTAGCGCTCATTATCTTTGCTTCGTATGCTTTTGAGCTTTTCAATATTTATGTCAGTCAATTCCTGTAGTAACCATCCCCCCCCCCGGGAATTTGCGTGATAGACAGTTAACGGGGGTCGGGAATTTGCCTGTCATATATATGGGCCGGGTATTGTTATAGTGGCTGAGATGCCGGGGATGTGACAAATGATTTCACTTTTGCGAAAATTATTACTGTGCCATGCGAATTTAAATACAACTATTAAAGTTTTATGATTTCGTTGTTTAAATCCTTTTAACCACTCTTAGCATGAGATTGAAGATTGAAGTTTTATAATATTCCATAGCAGTTTAATTTAATAGTATAATGTTATTAAATGACTATGCCTACGATATGCCATTAAAAGTTTAATTTAATAACGCTTAAAATCGTCCCCGGGGTGCCGTACATTAGTCTCCTAGTTGTGTCCCTGCACCCAGGCATTTGCACTATCGTAACCAATCAAATCAAATTTCCGGGTGTGTTCCAGGGGGGGGGGATGGTTACTCCTGGAATTGACTCATGCATTACAGGTATGTAGATTTGATTTAAATCGCCAAATTTGTAATGCAGATTTGACCATCTGTTCTTTAAAATATAAACCATGAGGATAAGGAGTATCTTAAATAAATTATAAATAAAGGATAAGGAGTCTTAAATAAATTATAAATAATCAATATTATGCAAGCTATCCATCTCAAGAATACAATCTATAGCAGTTCATTGCAGTCCATACATAATTATTTGAAACGTAAACTGTTTTAGCAGTATTTAATTAAAAAGTCTTAATTAAATTTCTGGGCGAAGGCCTCAGGTACAGGGGATATTTTTTGACATTCGGAACCTTTGATACTCGTCATGATGTGGGGAGTTTGCGAATATTAGAACAAGGTCAAAGTCATATCTCCACCCTGGTCCGGGGTGGGGTTGGGGGGGGGGGTCGGGGTTTACATTGACTCATGCATAAGAATATCGTGTTGTCATGGAACACTTGAGCGCGAGCCTGCGTTCAGTGTTGGCCATTTCTGAATACTTCATGTTAATTTAATGTTTGGAAAATATTGGCGAGGGGGTACTGCATGCATATATTTCTAGTTATATATATTATTTTCCCGGGGATTAAGCCTGGTTCACACTAGCAATTTTGTCGGCGATTTTGTGTTTTTGACGGATGCAAATGAGTGAACTCGCACACAAAAATATAGAGTTGCTTTTCCGAAGTAAACTATTCATGTTTTGCATGTCATTCATTCGATCAAGTTTGCCTCGAGGAGAAAAATCGCCGACAGAATTGCTAGTGGGAACCAGTGAACTCCCTATAATTCACTTTACAAAAGACATGGCGTTCACGGGTATGAATCAGGCGCAACACTACCTTTTCGGGAGACCTACTATTTTATGCTCTATCCAGTGATAGTTTTCAGATCAGTGGGGTGTTAACACAGTATAGGGAGACAAAACCCTTAGAGCCGCTCAGGGGAGACAAAAGTGGGAATTTTTTAAGCCATGTCCCAGGTGTATTGCGCGGCCAAAACCATTTACTCTGTAATACAATTTTATAGTGAACTGCTGCCGTTTACTGGTTGCCCAATATTTTAATCAGGTTTGGCAGGCAGTAAACAATGCGGACGCTTTCTGCCGTTGAGTGGCCCTACTGTTGTTTCCCTATACTGTGATGTTACGTTTTCAAGTTTGACATTTCAATATGGCGTCCGTTTGTGAAAGAAGCGGAAATCCTGGCAGATATTTGTAAATACGAGGACTGATGAAACTCTCTAGATACTGGAATAGCCAGCACAAAAGCTTATTGCGATTCTTGTCCATATTTGAAGTTTAATTAAATAATAGTACACTGTCTGAGGTTTAATTGCACATAATAGTCAGCTTAAGCAAGTGAGCTTTTGACATCACGGGACGTCACCTGAAAATTGACATAATTTACCTGAAAATTGACATAACTTATTTTGGCGGCATTTTGTATCATATAGCTCGTGTAAGGAAGCAAGAAACTTTACCAATCTTATGTTTTGTCATATATGTGTTGAATATTACCACAAACTGACACAAACATAGTCCGTGCTCACAAGAATGTTGCTTACTATTTACAACTATAAGTATGAACCGCAGGTTTTTTACACATGTAGAGTTATTTGGTGTTACTACTTAATAGACCTTATGCATAATCGCGTCACAAGGCTTGATGCCCGCGAGGAATGCTGGTCTAAGTGGTCATCGCCCGGGAAAATTAAACAATTCAAAATGGCCACTGTCGAAATTTTCCCGGGTGATGTCTACTAAGACCAGCATTCCTCGCGGGTATCAAGCCTTGTGACGTCATTATGCATAAGGTTTATTTACTGTATTTTAAAACAATACAGAAACAATACTCATTCACTGTACTTGCAGACTTGCTGACTTTAACCATAGTTAATAGAAATAATAAACATGGTTAGGAAGGCCGGCAAACTTCAAAGGCTTAGCGCTGCGATGTTGACGGGGTACTTCCGGTTGTAATCGGAGTGCACAGCTTGCAAAACAATGAGTGTCAGATGACATGTAGCCATTATGGGTTTTGGGTTATTCGACACTTAAGTGAGGAAACATACAGTTTGAATTGGGCAAATCTTGAAAAAAATGGACTCCGGTAGCGAAGAAGAAAGTGTTTTAGACGTTGGGGAAGAACAGTTATTTGAAGAGGACTTAGAAGTTGACGAATTCGCAGAAACATTGAAGCTAATCGAATCGAACGCCGAAGAAATTGACCAGCAATTGTTGGACGCGATCAGCGAGGTTGGTGGTAATATTGTTCAAATGCTACTATATTCCATTTTGCCACATGGTTATATCATGGTTTGTTTCTTGTATAAATATAGGTAGAAGGAGCGAAGCACTTTCAATGTCCAGACTGCCCAAAAGTTTGCAAGTCAAAGGGTGGTTTAACCAGGCATCGTCGAAGCAAACATCCTGATAAAGAAGAGCAAACAATGGCTACTATAAACATTCCACCTATAAACATGGAGATTATAGCAAAAATCATTGCTGAAACTGTCGAGAAACTGCGAGAAGAAAACATTTATCCAAAGGAAATTCTCGACATTATATCCAAATTGAAGCCCAGTGAATCCTTTCTCAAGTTCATAACCAAGGTTTTTCGTTTGTTCTGCAGAAAGCTCAACCAGGATAGGATGCTGGCATTGTTTTATGGCGAAATAATCAAAGATTGGAGGGTGTACTTTCCGCCTTGTGACAATCAAAAGGCTATAAATGTTTTGCTAATTCACCTCCCGCAAAAGTTGGTTGTCTATCAAACTTGCAAGCAACAAGCAACGTGATGATCAGGTAAGGTGTACTGTCAATGTTATTTATTAATATATGATGTTTGTGCTACGTGGTGAATGTGTGGTAAATTTTGATTTGGGAGAATATATTAAAAACAGGAACTAAACTAGCAAAACCATGGCCATGCTAATAAAAAATACCACCTGAAATTACCAACACCAACCAAAAGTAAAATAATGCTTCCTATTAACCGATTGAGTTGCCTTGCGCCCCACTTTATTATTTTACTCTGTCTAACACCAGACGATTTTACCCATCAAGGGGAGAGCGCTGGTGCTTAATGGGTTAAATACATTAGGTCTGCTGGGCCTATGGCACCTACCTTTTGGGATGGGTAAATTTACACAATTACACAATAGGAATTTCTACAAATTCCCTTCAACAATCTGCCTTTAATAATTTTAGGGAGAAGATGAAATTGGTTTAAAACCAGAAGAAATTGGTCCTCTCTCCTATGTTACTGGGTATGTCCTGCAGTCCCTCTACAGGAAAAGTAAAAACTCAAAGCACTGGAACTCTCCTCGTAGTCAGGAACTGCAGTTTCTACTTCAGTCCCTAAAACTTGAGGAAACCAAAGAAGACCAATACATTCAGTCTTTATCAAGAGGCGGTCTTTGGACCCCAAATGAAACAATAAAAAACATTGCTAAAACAACAGAACTAATGTTTCGCCAGCACCTAAAATTGAACAAGAGTGCATCTGTTCCCACCGATAAAGTTGTAGACCAGGTTCTTGCAACACCTGCTGTGACAAGTTTATGGGAAAACATCATTACTGATTTGGATTCTCAAATTTCTTCTGAGTGCAACAAGCTTGCTCTGGAAAACTTCATTAAATTGTACGTTCAAGTCCGTAGCTTTTCCTATGCTAGAGACATAGTTAGTAAATACAAGCTGAAGGAGAAGGCATTGAGGAGCAAGGCTTTGAGGAAGGAACTGAAAAATGCAGATATTTTATAGATGTATAAAACTGTGGGCACTGAACTACAGAATAAAGACAAACAGAAGGTTGACTCAGCAAAAAAAAGGCGTAACTGCTCCCACGCCATGATTTGTCATCAAAATGCTTACGCCATGGTCCTAACCAGTGTGCTTATGAGGTGCTCATTCTCCCTTCTGGACGTCCACCATTTTGAATATTATAAGTGCACTGCCAATGGTTAGGACCATGGCATCAGCATTTTGATGACAAATCATAAGTCAGGCTTCTGTATATATAGTCTCTATTATGTGACTGAGTGCTGCTTGTGTAGTATTTATTATAGGCATTAGTATAATTTCAGTATTGAAAAATGGCCTTTGAGCATTCTGATTGGCTCCATCAGCAGTAGCTCTGAGGTAATAGTTACTACTCTGAGCAGTAACTGTTGCTTTTCTCAAAAAATGGCTGAAAATCAAACAGAAGTAAATTATTTATTCGGTTTGTTTCAGCTCAGTGAATATAGGCTTGTAGTTGCCTTCAGCGATTAATTGTTAATTAAGTAGGCCAGTGGCAAAGCCAGCCTGGGAATTTGGTCATGCAATGCAAATTTTAAATCATTCATTTCTTTTGAAATTGAAAATATTTGCATAGCATGACTAAATTGTCATGCTAGCTTTGCCACTACAATAGGCAGAGATTTTTTGTTAATAGAAGGCTCAATAGTTTGTGAAATCTGAAACACTTACTGTAAATATTGTGTATAGTAAACAAATTATTTTAATAATATTGATATTATTAGTGCATTTAACAATGGGCCACAGAATAAATATTTACACATAAAGGCAACTAAAGTCATGTTGAAATCCTTGAAGTTTCTGACCTCATGCACAGGACCGTAACTTGGCCTCATGCACAGGACTGTAACCTGGGTATTATTACAGCTGGGGGGTGTGAGCTTATTTGCCCGACCAAAAGGGCATGGTGGAATTCATGCCTGATGGACATTTCAGGTGCCCAAAATTGTTATTTTTCAAAAAATTATGTAAAATTTTTTGCTGAATTACATTTTTTGTGCCTGATGAGTATGTCATTAAAATTGACAGACAAAACTGTAATGGGTGGGGGTGTCACCCCCCCACCCCCCCCAATAGTTACGGCCCTGCTCATACATGTCGCCTCTGAATCGTTTCGGTCAGTATTATTTATAATAGATGAGACCGGGATGAAAAAAACTCAGACTGGTCTGAAGTCATTCCGCCTGCTGGACCAAGCCGACTGACTTCAGACAGGCATGAATTCAGACCGGGATGAATGTAAACACAAATACATTTCAGATCGGTCTCGGCTGTAACCTTGACATTGGAACAACACAAGCTAACAAAAGCCATCTAGAAAAGAAAATTGCCTGGCAAGAGGAATAAATGGAAATTTTGTGATTTTCGTACCGGTCTCATGTAAACATGTTGACTTTCAATTTTCATTCTGGTTTGACTTGGTCCTGGTCTCATGTAAATGGGGCCTTAGAATAGTATAGTGCATATTACATACCCAATGATAAAAGATTACTTTTTACAACTTGCAACCCAATTGAAGTGAACACTTTGTCAGACAGTTCAGAAACTTTGCTGTTTCAATATTCTTACTGTTGAGTCCTTGAAAAAGTTCCTGTAATCACGAAGGACTCTTTCACTTGGTAAAACCAAGACACCGGATGATGACAGTTCTCTGTACACAGATGGAGATTTGGCATGAATAGAGAGACAAAAGCGAATCAGGTGGGGATGATATCTTCTGCCAAACTTTGGGGAGGAAAGTAATTTCTTTTGCTGCTGCCAGAAAAAGTCCATGTGTGGTGTTTTCTTCAAGTCAGCATTGCCCAAAATATTAAGGATGTCACCCTCAAGAGATTCATTGACAGTGATGCTATTCAAGTTTATCTCCTTTTCCAAACCTGAAAGTCTATCTTTCAGACCCTTTGCCTCGATACGCTGTTGCTGTATGGTAGCAATTAATCGTTCTTTGCTAGAACCAGATAAAGGAGCTTTCTCTTTCAATGATGTTGCTTTTTTGATAACAGACTGCTTTTGTCTTTTAACTTCTGACGCAAGGACCTTGGAACAGTTATCACAAGCATCCTCGCCAGACGTTTGCAGCATAAGACAATCAGCTGATCGCAGGTAAAGTGACACCTGGTATGGTGTATCTTTGTCACAGTATACTTCCTGACAAAGCGGAACAGTGTGCCTTGTCACTTCAGATACACCATCAACAGGGTCGGTTACATGTAGTAGAGTGGTGGTGGAGTCGGTTAGTGGCAGGCCAGGGCAAACATAAAGATTCCTTATCTCAGTTATCAGTGATGCAACTGATACATAAGTCACTGAGTGTTTATGTTCCAGGTAAATGTGGTGATTTTCTGGCAAAAACCAACCAAAAGCTGCAACAGTAAAGCCAAGACCAGAATCTACCTTCAGAGTGTAGAGTGGTAGTGCATGCTTGCCATCAAAATAATCTAAGCTGAATGTATTTTCATCAAACTTTCGAGACCAACCCGTCAATCCAAGCTTGGAAACCTTCGATTTCAAATCGTTTATGTCCTTATAAACTTTAGAAGGCACCAACTCTTTCTTTTCTATAATCCGCCTTGATGTCGAAGGCTTCGATTCTTCGTGCGATTTCTTGGGTAGATTTATGGTTGGAATAGATCCCCGTTTCAATGTCTTGCTTTTTTCATCTAAACAACAATATTTTATTAATATACAATGTTTCATTGTTCACATATTTGTTCAAAAACAGCGAAAGTCAGCGAAGCATTGAAGCTCGCAACATATTGTAATAAGGCTTGAATATTCATGACTTAGATAAACACAAAGAAGTTAGGATACTTACGTTTATTTAAACAATTCTCCTCAAAGTGTTTTTCGCAGATATGTAGATTCCCAGCGCTTATTTGACGCCGCAAATCTTTGTCGATCTCTCGATTTCGGGTTATAATTCGCACCCACTCTTCGTGTGTTTTAGTCGATAAATCGTCTTTGCCTTTCGGAATAGAAAATATACTTA